AAAGGGATGCGCCAGCCATGATCGATGCTCCATCCGATCGGAGACTACCGAAACTGCCCGTCAAATAATATATTCATAGCTTCCGGATGGTTGAACGCGACTCTCGAAATCCTCTGCCCCCCTCCCGCGCCGCCGCCCGCACCCCATGTTGCTGCCACCCTCTGCAACCACCCTCTATTCCGCGTATCACCCAACGCTGCATCCGCACGCAAATCGACTGTCGAATAATTATCGAAAATACACGGCTGAACAGCTTACCTCTCTCTCTTGCTCTGTGGCGGCAAGAGGAGAATCTCTCTTTTTCTCTCTCTCTCTCTCTCTCTCTTTCTCTCGTACTCTTCTCCTTTTTCTTTCTTTGTCTCTTCTTCCGGCTTCCATTGTGTTCTCAGTGAACTGAAAGATGAAATAGATTAAAACGAGTATTTAACTGAGGATGAGAAAAGTAACGGGACGAATACGTTCTATAAAAAAACAAAAATAATTTATAGAAAATAATTTATAATTTAGAAGGTGGAGAAGTTGTGAGACTTTTCTAACGCAATTTCGTTGATTTAAGTACATGTACTCGTTCTCATAAATATTAGAACAGGGGTTCGTAAGTATCAGACGTCGAATCAGGACTATTTCAAACGACGCTGGAAATTTGATATTTAAAGAAAGAGGACTTCTTTAAATTAGATAATTAACAGCTTTTTATCGTTTCATTTCGTAATTGTAATTAACTAATGACATAATGTATAAAATTAAAAATGATGTTGCAAATCGAATCTTAATGGATCGAAAATGGGCGAAACTGAAATGAAAAGTAATGATACGTTAAATTTGTCACGAAATTACTTTCAAACGACCTGAATAAAATAGTACGGTAAGTACTTTCCCATTAATCGTAGCTTTATAATTAAAGTCAGCTGGACGAATTACAAGGAAATTATAGTATATCCATTTTCAAAGCGTTTTATATATTTTAAACTGATGCAATTATTACAAACAAAATGTTATTCTCTAGAGGAAATTTCAGATAACGAGCAGTTTGAATTTAAATAAAGTGTTGATGCGTAACAAAGCAAAAAATGGAAATTCATTAGAAGTTGAAGTACAACTTAATATTTATGTAGTCAATGGGAGTAGATACCTTCTGAACGACTTTTTAAATCTTTAATTAACTTCGTCCTGACATTTAATTAAGCTTTAAATAGTATTACGTTTAAACTAGCAAGCACGTTCCAAGCGGCTTTCAAATCATTCGCGGAAGTAATCTGGAAAGTTATGAAGAAACATGGAAACTTAATCCCTAAGTTTCTACCGAATATTTCTAGCACGTGAATTCTAAAAAAAGCGACGTAAATACTTAAAGATATTCTATCGAAGAAATTTGGAATTACGTTTACATCGTGTTTCGAAAATACGCGAAATTATGCTTCGGCGACAACGATCGAATCAGTTTAGTCTTGATTAAACTAGTTTTGATCGTTAAATAATTAAATTTTATCGTTATATGACAAAAGTAAAATTAGTATAAACTACTAGTACACATTTTATACTAAAATTTACCTTAAACGTGTTACCTTAAATAATCTAATTACGCAAAATGTGATAACCAGAATAGAAAATAAAATATTGACAAATAGATACTCCTTTACGTAATATTTTGCAAGTTGTAAAGGAGACAGAGGCTCGTCGCACAGACGGAACGCATTCCCTAGGCGGTATACCGTTCATCTAGATATCACGATAGGAGGTCCTGTTCGTTGTAATCGGGTAGAAAACTCAATCGCGATCTGACTTTCGCATCAGTTGATCCACTCGTTGTTATTGATTCGATTTTGAATAGGTGGTTACGGATAAAGAGAAAAGATTTGGTTTTTCGGTGTACCACGAGCAAACAGTCCTACGACAGATCGTTGGTCCTCGTTTTAAAGAACTGTTCTTCCGTAGCGATATTCTCGTGGCGTTTTTGTAACAAGAACGTTGTGATTATTCGTACGCGCTTAGATAGGACTTAAAACGTACAAGCCGAACGAGAAGATACATTCAGTCGCTGTTCTCTGCAAATTAATCGAAGGACTCTTCGTGTGACCCTGCTTTTCTGGGGCACGTGCCCATGGGTATCGGTATTTCGGGGTACGTTAATACCTCACTATCCAGACGGATAGAGAGAGAACAGAGCGAAACATCCACTCCTGTACATTGTTTGCGGCTTGGAATCAATAAAAGCATAGCTTTAGGCGACGGTGGTCACCATGGCAACCAGAGACCCATCCGTGTACCTTGCTTCTCTCTCCCTCGTCTTCTCTCTTCACACACATACAAACATACATACACTCATACCCGTACACGCACCCTTTCCTCTTCATTCCTCCCGCAATTTCTCTCTCGTTCTCTTTCCTTGCCTCTCTTCGTACATGTATACCATACCTATTCTCCTTCGTTCTCTGTTCCTAACTCGTGAACGTCCTTTCTCCTTTTTTTCCTCCCGACGCTCTCTATTTCGTTCCCTTTTTGCCATTTTCTTTTTTCATCTTTTTAACTTTGATCCTTGCACACGTAACGTCTAATTCTCTGTTTTCCTCTCTATTCCCTGTTTTCGCATACTTTTCTCTCCCTGTGTTTTCCCCTTCCTCCATTTTCCTTTGCTCGTTCACCCTCCGCCCGTTCCTCCACCTTTCCTTTGAACACGTTAGCCATATTTTCGCTTTTCCACCCTCTCTCCACTGTATTCCACCGATTCTCTATTCCGTTCATCTTCTCATTTTTCTCCCTTTTTTCGCTCACCTTTTCTGCCTCTATTTTGTCCGCGTCGGCGCAAACCGAACGCACGGTCCTTTATTTTCTGAACTGTCGTTCAACTACACATGTACATATTATATATATATATATATATATATATATATATATATTATATACGTGTCTATATTATAGCTCGTTTTTGATTCACCTGTTTTTAATTGTCTCTTTGAACTTGCAATTCGTTAAAGCATGTTTCTATGTATCGATCCCATGGGCATTTACTTTTAATTATCTTTAGAATTGACTTCGCGGTCACCTTTCTATCGCTGCACCTGAACATAAATTTTCACATATATGTACAGTGAATCACGAAAGTATCTGAACAGTCAATTATTCGTTACAATCGACAAACCATAATATCTAAAGGTTAGCTTGACAATAGTTTGACGATGAAATATCAGCATTCTGCTATTTTATCATTAGGAACTTAATGAAATAATCGGTTAGTTAAAAAAAAAAAAAACGAATAAGAGATGTCTATACCTTCATTTTCAGCCAATTTTTTATCTTGATGGATTTTGCCGCATCTCACAATTTTAGGAAAAAATGAGCCATCATAGAAAACCAAAGTATAATGTAATTTATACAGGAAAAGTGCATCGAACACAATGTAAAATATATCGACAATGAACAGTTAAAAAATATTTTTCAAAATGTATTTTATTTTTAATACCGACTATGTGGTAAAGAATATCGGCTTTAATCAACTGAGAGCTTCATTTTTTCAACTCCAGAGTGAAAATAATAATTATTTTCTTCTAACAAAAGAAAAATAATTAAAGTATATTAAATATATTAATTGAATGCAAAAATTTGAATTAAAAATCTAAATTAGAAGAGCTTTTAAATTTTAAGTATCATATATTATATATGTAATGCAACATACTTATGTATACTATATACATATATATATATGTTTACTTAAATATATAAAATATACGATAAAAGAGCAATAAATTACGTGATCTACAATCAAAATATTAAAATACATAAAAAAACAAGAATCAGAAAATAAAATTACAAAACAATTTTTTACCTACAAGATGAAGGTTGATTGTATTGTATAGACAATAATTTGTGCATTAAAATGATGAAATAAAACAAACTATTTCATCCCAGTTTAACGTATTTTCTTAAAATTTATTGAGTTCTTAAAGAGTCGATCCACTGAGGACCGAGTAATGATAGAACGCATAAATTTGTATGATTTCGAAACAAGGTAGTTTATCATAGTGTAATAGAAACTTTAATTCATAAAGTAAAACTTCATAAAATAGAACTTCATAAAATAAAAGAAGACTGAACTTAACTTATAACCCACGTTACTGTAATCGCGCATATTCCAACGATACCATTTGAGGGTTAGGACTGTTCACACGCAGGGGTAGTGACTCTTCAATCTTTAATATGCATTGGATCCTTGTTTCCGAAAGATATTTTCCATAAAGTTCAAAAGTAAAATAACCCGCTCTAAGGAAAAACGGTAGCGAGCAACTCTTCAAATACGCAAACTCCATAAAGAACGTCGATAAATGTCACGCGCTTTACGGAAGTGACAACCCAGTTGAAAACATTGTCGAAAAGATCGACCGAGAAAAATCGAACGAAAGTTCGACCTATATTCGTAGGCCAATAACTGATAGATAGTCCACGGCAAATCCAGGTAAAGAGCACGTTCTACTTATTAATTTAATTACGCGTATTAAATTCATACGATTTAAGTAGAAGAGAATATTCATTTGGTCTCGTCTCAAATTAAGGTTAGGTTAGAATAACCTGATCCGAGCTAAAATAGGGGTTGACTTCTACTTCTTCGATTCGAGATTACGTTTCGATAGTCACGGATGCTGAATCTTAAAAGCTAGAGGGCGGGTTTTTAAAAATATACATTATCGCTCGAAAGTATCCGAACATTTGCTCGTCTTTAACAAGATGTTAAGATTTAATTACATATATGAATGACAAGTAAAAATTATGTACTGACAAGTAATTACTACGTTCTGTATTATTATTCTACCATTATGATGTAACAAAATCGTACGAAAATTATATTAGTATATAAGCATAAATTTTAGAGCGTGTTTTAAAAATAATACGCGTTAATGACATCATTTTTCTTTACTTTTCAGCTTATGGACTTGATTAGTACGACTTCTGAGCGGCTCATTTAATATTTGAACAATGCAATAGAATTTTCCAATAGTGCATATGTTACTTGTATCGAAGTACATTGTATAGCGACATAATATATTTGAATATTTGAGGTTCTTGATCTGAACGATATTCTGCGGAAAAAATCTGGAGCGGTCACAGGTCCCCTGTAAGGCGACACAGGTACATATGGGCTCTTTCAGTGAATGGACCAAATGATATAAATTATTTATAGATTTCGACACCAAAGCGCGGGGAGGGAATCGAGGGTGTACTGTTCCAACTGGGGTGTATACCCCGGGGGGGTCCACTTGCATCAAAAGCCCCTCGAGGCCCCCTCAACATATGCATTTTCACTCGACCACCGTAAGCCTATATAAAATTGATTTCTAAGTACCCTGGATTTCCTGTCAATCTCGCGTGTCTTTTAACACCTATCTTCGTTTGTTCTCTACACAAATCTTCGAGTGTTCAGTTTGAGTGCAAACATGACTGAAAACGACACTTTTGTTTGCTCCTTCTTTCCTGTTGACGCTCTTTGCAAATGACTATAATACTGGTATGATGATATCGCCTGTACTTTTAGATGTTTCAAAAATTTCAATTAATTTCATTCGCTTCAAAACTTTTCGTAATAAACCTTCATACAAAATCTGATTATTTTAACACTCATAAGTATTATAAACGACCATTTTGATAAATCCAGTCCTTAAAGAAACGATAAATTTAATATAACAGAGAGATATTATTTTAGCCGCATTAAATTTTATTTATCGGAGACTAAACTAGAAGAAGAAAGGCGGAATGCATAGACTTTTAGTGTACACGTCTCATAGGGGTTTAACCGATCGCAAAGTTCCTGACGAGTGATGTGTAGCAAATTTGAAGACGGGCCCAGAGCATCGTACGCTGTACCCCCCGGGGTCCAATCTAAATCAATGGGCTTGTGGGTAATCGCATAATAATTACTAGAACCCCCTCTACCGTCCATCTGTCGCTAGCCAAGGGGTGTTCAACCCCTACAAGTGGCAGTGTGCAATGTCACGGCAACATAGACGATCAGAGTGTCTCAGCAGGTCCTATTGTTGTTGACCATTGTAAAAAATATCACGCAGTGTCACATATTTCCTCGGTTTTCGCGCGTTGTTTAAAATTTTTGTCGAATACATAACACACATATACCAGCAATTTAAGGAAATAGTGCATTACACATAATTGTAATTGTAATCTGTTTGATAAAGTATAACATACTGATAATAATCCTCTCGTGAGGATCTCGATCACCTTAATAAAAAAAATATGTATAATGATTACGAAGAACTCTTTATTAAACTGTTACAGACAAACAAATGATACCTACAATTCTGATCGGTTTATTCGTCGGATTTTGTGATGGTTTACGTGGACCTCATCATCCACGAAGTCCTGTCTCTCATCACCATTATGTCCCCCAGAAAGATGTTAAAATAACGCAAGATGCACAACTACTACAGGATGCTACGTTAGTTAACACTTAACTCATTTACTTGAGTATCATAATTTTATTTAAGTATGTGTTCGTTTTTTCACTTTGTTATTGTTTTATCTTTACTCTAGTTTTAAACTTCTAACAATTTTGCATTTTTAGAATTTAATATTGCAATAATCAACAAACATTATTTTTATCGTCAATTATTTTGCGCATTTCCAGTATTATTTACCTTATCCATATTTGTATAATTTTTATATAGTTCTTACCACTGCGAAAGCTCAAAATATAAGGATTAAAATTTCAGCCACTTAAAAGAAGACATAGGATCAATGGCGGATCAATTGGACTTTTCGAACATGACTGAACAAGAAATCGAATTCCATTACTTCAAGTACGTCTGTAATACTAATAATATATTATATTTTCAGTGCTACAGTAAATAATTTGCACATCTTAGTAATATCGTTATCAGTCATTATTGTGAAGAATTTCCTAAAGGAAATATGCTCGGTTATCTCTCGTAAATTAAATATTTTTATTGACTAGCAAATTTATTCGTATTTTCTTTCTTTTTTAAGTATCAAAAATTATTTTTATATCTAAATTTTCATTCAGAGTTCACGATATCGACAATAATGCTAAATTGGATGGATTAGAAATTCTCTATGCGATTCAACATACGTTTCACGAGAACAGACTCGCCAATACTGAACGTGAAAGTTCGAGTGAAGATACCAGAACCATGGATTACGAAGATGATTTGCCTTGGATCATAGGTGCGTATATCCACAATTATGTATTCGAATTAGAACAAATTTCGTAATAGAAATATAGAAATTAAGATATGAAATACTGAAAATGTAATAATTATTTTTGTTATAAAGAACTTGTAGACAGAGTACTGAGGGAAGATGACTTAGATCATGATGGATACCTTGGATATATTGAGTATGTACTTGGAAGACAAAGAGATCATATTGCTCAAGCAAAACGGAATAACAAATTGGAGAATTAAAAGCACATCTAGTACAACGCCTTTGGCCGATGAAATAATTAATAGAATCCTGTATAACATATAAATTTATGTCAAAAACATACGAAAAACAAGACCTTTTGTTTCTTTCTAATTAATTGATTTGTAACAATTGTCTTCAACTAAAATGTACAAAAACTGTAATTTTTAATACAATCCATTTTAATCTGCAAAACAGTATATTATTTATTTCAGGTAATTAAAAAATCATCCTGTATACTACAATAATAAATAATCAAATTTTTCCATACATACCATGTAATGACTCGTCAAATATTGTTATTTTTTTGATTAAGAAATACTCGATATATTAATTCTATTTTCGTTAAAAATTGTTATGGTTACTTTAATTATTATGTTATATGATTGTAATATTGTATAAATATACAAATATTTAAAAAATTGTAATATAAACATACCTTTTTTATACACATATATCAAAATTACGATAGCAGTAATACTTTTATGAATCTTTGAGCTTTAGTATTTATTTTTTTATTGATTTTTGTACATATTATTTAAAATATGTGATTATTCCAAAATACATAATGGATTTTCTGTTACAAGAAGACATTTTTCCCAAAGATCTTTAACTATCTGTATCTGTTAAATAAAAATAATTTAAGATATTAAATTATTTGTTGAATAGAAATAATAGAAAACATTCTATGTACAGTTGAGCCTTTCAAATTTGAACATAATTGTCTCTACTAGTTAAAATGCCAGAGACTCTCCTGTATTATGATGCTACTCTGAAATGATTTATATAGTTTTCTGTTTACCTTATTATCTTCACTATCAATTGGCAAATCTTCTACGCGTATAAAGTCAGGATATCGCAATATCATATCTCGTATAGCAGGTACAAATTCTTCACCAACTTCTAAAAATTGTGGTTCATACTCGTGATATTCTTTAGAATTTTCACTCGAATAATATATCCTAAATGTCTCATCCTCTTTAATTAACCTAATAATAAGAAATAAAACTTTTGAATAGTAGTTTTGTTCCAGTATAAATTTTCGAAATTTAACGTCATAATTGTATGATTTTTTAATGCAAAATCAATCAAAATTTTCAAATATTAAACTTACAAACAATTAACTTATAATTCTAAAAGATTAGGGAATAACTCAAATTACCTTATACAATGAGACCTTAATAATCGAATTCTAGTATCAGGTTCTATCTCTACCCTGTTTTCAACAATTCCATTTTCAATCATCTTTTCGCCATCTTGAACAGCAGAGCATTCCTGTTCACTTTCAGAAATAATAGGTGGTAAACAATCATGAATATGATTTTTTGCCATTAAATCTGCAGCTTTATCTATGTCAATATATTCTATTAATTTATTAAATAAATGTTTTATTCTTTCCTTGAACTCATCCTTGGCATTGTTCTGAATATCAGAATATGCAAATCCACATTGTCTTAGGTAATCAATAGGTAATCCCTTTCGAAATTCACTATCTGCTTCTATAGCAGTTGTTAATGCATTTGGAAGTAACTTCTCCAAAAAGTCACCCCAACTGTTTTTTTGGTAAACACTTAATGTAATATGGAGACTATGTGTATTGTCAATAGTTTCACCTTGATGAATCGTTCCTCGTGGAAAATATAACAAATCTCCTGCATTTACAACTGTATCTAATATAGGTTCACCAATTTCAGATTGTGAGAAATTCTTCGAGGAATACCTTGGCAAATATTCATTTTCATTCCGTGGTTTGTACAATCTCCATCTCTTTTTACCTTCAATTTGTAATATAAAGGCTTCAATATCGTCATAATGTGGAGCAAAACCTTGGCTATTAGGGGGTGTTAAATAGGAATTTGCACCAACAAAGCAGCCAAAAAATTCTTGTAGCGTGGCTGAAAGTAATAAATATCTTTCATTATAGACCTGAGAAGTTATGTTCCATATGTTTATATAAAAAAATGTTTATGTTATAAATATTCTCTTCATAAAAAATACCATTTAAGGAATGTAACTTTGGTATGTATGTTTGTGGATTTAACATTCTAACAGAACATCCATTCATATAATAGTCCCAAACAACGCTTGGAATTGCACGGCCAACAGGATTATGCGTTTCTCTTACATCATTTTCATACGAGGTAATATCAATATTTTTTGTAAATAAAATATGAGATTCCCTTAATATTTTATCCAACATTGGAGTAGACATAAGCAATTTATAATACTTATGAAAATTTCTCTTTACATGGACAGGTGTTTTTTCCCAATTATTTCTGGAAAAAGAAATGGTATATCACTCATTAACTTATTAATTATTGTTAATTACAAGTACGTATAATTTGTAACTATTTTTAACTTACTCAAAAAAATCTTCTACTTTCATAGGATGTATTAACCATTCAAACATCGAGCGACTCGTTATTAGTGGATTCTCATGATTTTCTTCAGTTATGTTACAATTGGCATAAGCAGTCTTTCGAGTATTCTTTTTTATTAATATTTTGCTTTTAATTTGTTTCTGTTGCTTCTGTTTAATCTGTTTCATTTTTGCAACACCGCTTTTTACCATTAAAACAGAATTTCTTAATTTTTTTTTTGATTCAATTTTCTTTGAACTAGGAATTATAGCCATTTTTTTATCTCCTTTATGTATTGGTTTTTGAATTGATTTATTTTTCTTAGAAGACACAAAAGAATTAGTCTTTTTAGATATTAGATTATTCTTTCCATTTACATTTTGAATTTTATTTATTGTTCTTGGAATCTTATTTATCTCTTGATCACTTTTATGCACAGGTGCTTGTTTTGCCTTTCTTCGTATTTTCAAATGTGCATCATTTTTTAAACCTACTCGTTTTTCTGGAAGACTGTGTTTTCTCTTTAATCTCTTTGAATTTGATGATAATTCTGCATTTTTACGTTTCATAGCATACATTGCAAATGCAGATGTTGGTTCCTGACATTTAAGCATCTATAATTATTAAATGAAATTATGTAAATAGTACAGAAATAGAAATTATGTAAATACAACAATAAAGACATATAAATATAATGATAAATAACTATAGTATATATTTAACTTGCATATTATAATCAACAAAGTAATTTATACTACAATAGTAATTTATAAACTACAAATAAACAGTGTAACCGGCGAATTATAGGTTATATTGTAATGTTTTGTCAATATGATAATACAATATTACTTTTTAACATTACCGTGAAATGTACACATCTACATGAACTTTATGATTATAATCCGATCAAATTTAGCAGCTAGCTAATATTATTGATGCCATAAAAACTCTCAAATTGAATTTATCACTGTCACAAGATCATAAGTTACTACTTACAACCACGGTCCTGCCACAACACGTGGTTATACCAGATAGATAGCAGTTTTAAACATTCAATTGGAAGCGGCATTCAATTTATAATATTTCTTATAAGGAAATGGATTCCCCATGAATCAAAAAATACAATCAGCATTATTTTCAATTTTAATTTGATTAACGAAGATTTCTGATATTTTCAGAGAAGAATTTTTCAAACGCTTCCAGTGGTTGTACGGAGGGACTGGGACATAACAATTAGATCTCTTTTGTCGAAGAACTTTATTGTTGTAGTTTCTTTGTCTTCTTTTTGTATTTTATTTATTACATAACGTTTTCTTATCTGACAAATTTTACTTTTACATCCAGTATTCGTAGTTAATAATTAATAATAAAAATAGAATAACACAAAAGTATGATCATTACTTTATACTAAATACTTTTACTTGTTTATTCACATATACATGATTTTAGAATCATAGGCTTTTTGTTTTTATTAATAAATTGTTTATATATATATTATATCTAGTAATTGAAATGTAAAGCGATGAAATGAGGTAAAATTGTATCTTTTACATAAACGATATATATATATATATATATCCATAAGAAGAAAAGAAATACTCTATACATGTACTGGAAATTGAACAATCATTTTGATCAATGCACAATATTTCATTCGTAATATCGTACAACGATAATTAATAAATCAATGCACAAGCTAAATATCGATATATTAAGAATGAAATTTAATCGTTAATGACACACAATGCATATTATTCCTATTGAAAATTAATTGCTAAACACTTATAAATATATTTTATACTACACGTATGTATATAGATGTGTGTATAGATATAGATGTCGGCGTATTGATATCTTACGATTAATAAATAACATTTTTCCCGGCATTTTGATAAAACTTTTTAACAGATATACTTAAGTACATACTTTCAGTGTGCAATCGATAGTAAACTAGCAACACGTCTCTTAACAAATATCTATTCACCTAAATATAAGCGCCTTATTGTTATCAGTCGCATTTCGACATGTTTTCACGATGAACTTTTCGTATCCCAAGCGCATTATCCTTAAGGTGACCATCCCCCATCGCAGAATATGTACAATTTGTGACCTTTCTATCGTAATTTTGATTTTATTTACAACCCTTTTAACCCTTACTCTTTGTAATCACGAACGACCGCGAAGATATTTATTTTTTCATTCCTCCGAAAACTGCAAATTCAGATTTTCTAAATGTAAATACGAAGCAACAACTTGATCGTAAACGATAAAACGACCGAGAAATGAAATAGATGTAACCATTTTAAGTAACTATTCTACTGTAAAATGACAAAAAAGAAAAAAGACATAAGAAAGTTCAAGCGCAAAAAATTAATTTCAGATTGTTTTATTGGTGCTAGAATCCATGTCATAATACAGCTATTTCATATTACACGTATCCGAACCCTCTACAATTCTCTATAACTTCCGTACATTTCGTGTGACTCGTGTTTCTGACAAGACAGATCCGAACAATGATTCCTAAAATTGTCTAGCGAGTCTAAAAGTATAGAATGATAAAAATATATAGAGTGTACATTTATGCACGAACGTAAAATCGTAAAACCACAAATGCTTCGTCGTTGAGTCGACATCTTTCAAAATTATACTACAGAAGGAATGTCCGAAATGACCTTGACTTTCTATTCTTTAAACTTGTCTATTTTACTTAGAAATATGTATCTCCGAAAACTTACCAGACGGTCAACTATGTTTTAACGATGATCATTATATTATATATTAAGGAATTTGTTATACACACATACATGTACTTGGGGATTCACGAGCCAACGTTTTCAAATTTTTGTATAAAGTCATTTCTGAACGCTTCCGTATATACTCGGCTTATACAAAACTTTAAAGACTTAAAACTACAAAAAGAAGCATTCGGGAAAGATTACATCAATTTTTCTAGCTCCACTGCCGTGAAGCGAAACTGCGCACACCTTTAAAATCTAATTTGAATATTTTTAAAACCTTCTACATACCGTCTTATTCTTAATTATAGTAATACCCATAATACGAACATTTATTCGAAAGAATCGTCCTATTTTATAATATGTATGTTTAGAACGATAATTGCACAGTGGTATATGTTACAACGATATTTACAGTAGTCTCGGAAACAAACAAATTTTTCCTAAGGTTCCTTGCTCGAACCTTACCTGGATTGTAGAGGGCTAACGAGATGCGTCATTATATTATATAATAATATGCAACTCACACAACACGTTACATACATATTATATAGAAACTGGAATACGTAATAGTTGTATTGTGCAATATGTAAATTTTTATTGTACGTGAAGGTTGGATGTCCAACTACGAAACTCAGAAAATGGTCACCTCGGTTTCTTAGATTTTTTGTTTTCACATACATGTATATTCGATATTACACGTTTCACTCTCGTTCTCGCATTTTCTCTTTCTCTCCCTTTCACTCTTTTTATTTCGAGGTTCTCTATCTTTCTTCCGCGCTCTTTCACGCTCTTTAAAATTTGAAAAATCTGTATTCGCATTAATAAATTCAAACTTATTACTTGCCACGTCGAACACGCGCAGATAAAGCGCCAGGCACTTGTAGATATAAGGAAGATTTATACAATTTTTTTCTATCCAGTGGGACGTCGAATTTAGTTGAACAAGGCAGTTTGTAGGACGGACGACGTTGTTCTAATAATGTCACAATTATTTCGATGACGCGTATTTTATGTTTTCTTCTTCTTTTTTTTAAATCGTCCTCAAAACGTGTATAAATAAGCCATACGCTTAGCGTCCTGATCGTGTAACGTATCATATTCTGGAAAGTTTACGAGCAAACTTGAGTGAAAATAAATAACAATTTCAAATGATAAAATAATAATGTCCATCGTTCCAAAACCCATTATTTAATTCTAAATTCGATTAAAAAACTAAACAAGCACCTGCTATTACAAAGTTATCTATCTGTAATTTGCGAAAGTTCGTATTGTTTAGAACGCAAAAAATAAACATACCAGTAAACGTACATAACATATATTTAAAACGATACAAAACCCAAAAATTACTTCTATAAAAAAATCTTCCATATAAATAAAGCCTTTGAGAAGTATAATTTTTTGCGAATAAACATTTCGATTATTTCTTTTTGGATTTGTATCTTTTTTTTTTCAAAATCCAACAGGTACAGTAGTATTCGAACGTTTCCCTCGCTTTCACACTCTTAATATTAAAAAAAAAATAAAAAAAAAATAAAAACTAAAATAGTTCGCATAAAATATTAGCCGATAAAAATTTTAAATAAAAGCTTCGGAAATAAGCGGTTGATGTCACGTCTTCGCTACAATTGGCATTTATCGTGGACTTTGACGATTCAAAGTTTCGACCATCGCGTCGCCTTTACCATCTTTTTATTTCTTCTATTTACATTGTTTACTCGTCGACGATACCCTTCGAGACAGCCAATTGTAGTTTAGATGCGCTCAACGTCGCTACCTTTACACTCTTCCGATTTATTCATTCGTAATCTTAATGTTTCCTCGCACAATTTTTCACCCGCTATATAGATGTAGTTAATAGAGTAGTGGTCAAAGACGCTGCTTCTAGTCAGCTTACAAAATTAGTTCTTCGTTGAAAATTATATGTATAAAACGTTCATCGATTACAACAAATCACTAGACTGGATTGACACGATAATAAATGCTATTTTCATTTTAGTCGATAGATCACATTATATGTAAAGCTTGCAAAAAAGAAAGCCTTTAGGTTGCAAAAGAAACTCTTGTATTTGTTATATGTTTATGTGAATGTGCAAATGTTTGTGATACGTAAATATCGATTTTTTGAAATATCATCGAAGAAGAACAATCCTTTTTCGATAATCGAAACTCGTAAGAGAAAATTTGTTAACTAAACGTACTTTTAATTAAAATGATTGAATTAACTTTCATTGAAGTTAAAAAATTAACAAATCTCATGAAATTTCCAGAAATCAGTTTTCCATCCATACGATCGATGATAATATTAAGCGTGGATGTGAAAGATTGATCGCTGATGCAATTAAAGGAATTTGCAAACTATCGATATTCTTGTAACGATAGAATTAAAGTCGTCCGAGAGGCTTCCTACAAACGGCAAACGTATTTAATTGCAATTTACATTACTTTGAAATCACAAATTTGCATAAACCTTTCCTTACAGTAATTAAGGTGCTCGAGCTCACTGGTACGAAAGGGTTAAAGAGAGCTCGTGCTTAAACACATAGCAACGTAATAGAAGGTGCGCAAACATCCTCTGAGATCACTGATGAAGAAGCGCGTGTAGACAAGAAATCAGAGCACGCTCAACAAGAAATTATACAAGTTAGCTTAGCCTATAAAGCGTTACTTTTACAGTCGGCTAATTATTATCATTGTCATTAATCATCATTGTTACTCGGTTACCCCCTTATTTCAATATGGTTATTCATGCGATACTCATATTCGCATTTTAAAACGGATTTAATTAGACAACCCTAAAACTACGATACTATATTATGATGAATCATAAAATTCATTGGGAACGACATCACTGAATTTGTTCAGGTTGCTGGCATTCTTAAAGCTAATATTTTTTTGTCATTTATACCCCTAAGCACCTTCACACGTGTATGTTTTTTGAGTGCTTAAGCGAAGTAAACTTATGCTATGATAAAGTTTTAACATTCTCACAAAGAAAAGGATAACGGCTAGTGGTTGGAACCTCGTAGGAAAAGCAAACAAAAAGTATTGGAAAAATATTATACAACTTCTTCGTGTATTATACGAAGCTATCGATTCTCTTGTTTCTTTCTTTATGTAAGTATATAGCGATGAACAGACCACTTCTTGGACTGTCTATGTTTGGAAATATATCGTATATAGAAACATAAAAGAATGAGATTTAAAAGAAAATTCTTATTTTCAACGTTACGAATCTAAACGTTACCAAATATGTTTAAGTTAGAGAAAAAGACTAAGACAATAGTACAATCACGTTTAAAACAATGACATGTAGTCTCAAGAACGATCTGATAATACATTTATAAAATACATCCGATGTTTGATACAGTTTAAGAAACAATAAAAAAAAGTTACGTATATAACACAAAATATAAAAGCAAACTAATTGAACAATTTACCATGTAAAACCATAAAAGTACTAATATACATTCTTGCTTCGGTGCAAATAGTTACCAATGTACATTCTACTGTTTTTGATAACCGTATTGATCACTCAAGACATTCAAGTAAGATAAAAAGTTGGTAAAATATTTAATTTAGAAACGTTCTAAAAACGAGATAATAGTTTTTCATTATTTATACACAGTTCTGTATTGTCCGTACTAATATCTCTCTTCGTCACTATATACCCTAATTTCTATTTCCTTAAGACATTACAAGTATTTTTTTACAAGTATTACAAGTCGAATTATTTGCATTTCCTGGAAGTTGACCAATATCCGTTTAACATCGTACTAATCTCGTTAATACAATTTTTCCCTTTATCGTAAACCTACGTAATATTTGTTGAAAATCATAATATTAGAACGTCAAGGTCTTTGGTGGCGCTTTGCCAGTTACAAAGGCTAAAAGAAAGAATCACAATTTACCTACATGATTTTGTGCAGAGATAATGGTACAGTGGGATCGATAACGAATTAATATTTATACTGTAAAATGATTTGATAAACATTCAATGGTATCAATAATTCATAATTTATCGAAATCGAACTTGCTTAATTTTTATTAAGTTTATCGTTGAACGCCACTTAAAAACACTGACGATTACGATGATCTTTTGAGAACAAGATAAAGACATATCTTTTTCAAAGACGATACAGCTTATTAATTATATATACGAAATCACGAAAGTCATGATAATAAATCACGAAAATCGATCACTTGCAAATACAATTGATTGCGATGTAACCTGTAAAGCTCTTCGAAATACAAGGATATTTATCGTCACCTTACTCCTGGTGGTGTTGTATAATTCATATCTATTCTTTGCACATGGCATTTGTTAACAAATGCAGTACAGTTAATCTTCACATATGCATATATATATGTATACGTAGATGTATATACATATATACGCATATATATATGTACACATATATATATTGTAGGTATACAAATATAAATTATTTGCCTTATCTTAAAATATTCGGGACTCGTGATAGGAAGTAAATTCTTGTTTTGTGAATAGACTCGGTTATTTTATTATATACTAAGTAAAGATCATTTAATAAACCTGTCTGTCTTTTCTAAATTGCCTCGTGATTTCTTGTAAGTGCAAGTTTACAACATGCTGCGTAAATTCATGTACGTTATCAAAATTGAATTTTGATCGAAATATTATTTATTCTAATGTAACATTCTTTTTTTATATCAGATGTAAAAGATCGATAAGCAATGTATAACTAATACGTGAATTCATCTTGTTAAAATAAAAATGACAAAAATCGTTCTTAACGTTCCACCTGTTGCCCGCCGAGCATTATTTACTAAATGGGATAGTGATGTATTGATAAATTACTGAGGTATATTTACAAATGGAGGCTAATTCTTGATCGGGCGCAGGAAAATATCAAATGTCAGCGCAAGCCCATAAGAAAAGAATCTCGTTAGAGAGGATTGCTTAGATCGAGATACGAAATGTGAATAATAAAATGACGAATACTTTACTTTGAACTACATAATTGATGAATGCTTTACTTTTGATCTTTTACTTCATCGATGTCAATTTTGGTATTTACTTGCGCACCGATTATATTTACACTGCAACATTTTGCAGCACTTAAATTGACTTAAATGTAATCTAGATCCATATGGCCTTATTACGATTCAAATCGATTCGTAATTCATTAATATTTAAACTTTTCATGTTCTACATTTTGGTATTTTCACACCCGTGAGAATAATAAATTTATTTTCTTTCCATTAGTCAGAACTCGTAACTTCTCTTTTACTTTCTATACTGATTATATTATTTGCTTCTGTTTACCTGCTGCCTTTAATTGCTTGGAACTGATTCAACCACTGAACTATCGTTGTGAACGTTCAAAGATTATATTCAGACCTTTACTCATAATCAAATCATATTTAACAAATTACCTAATCTGTCATAAAGTCAAAAGCTAGGCATTAAACATTATGATTACAAGTGATAACCTACGGCATAGACTTAAATTTATAATTAGAATAAATATTATTGATAGATTAAGGTCCTTTTCATACTTTCCGAGATAATATTAACATTGTATCGCTTGTAAATCTAAAATTAGAATCATTAATGCACAAAGTTCTACAAATTTCACGTGCTAAAATTGCAATTCCAATAATTAATATTTTCGGAATGATCTTTTTCCTGTTGTGTTTTGAGATCTCTATTAAAATACCAAACGTTAGAGTAGAATTTTTGCAATTTATTGTCTATATATAAATTGGCTCCTACGTTAAATAAAATTTGTAGAACTCTATCACGGATATTTGTTAAAAACCTTTAACAAGTTCCACAATTTTATAATTTGCCTCGTCGTGCAATGATATGATGTTTAAATGTTATTAATACTGCTCTGTGTTACATAAAATTAAATTATCATTTTAAAGAATTACCTGTGTTATTATATTTAAAACAACGAAAATTATCAAAAATTTTACTAGTGTATTAATGATTCTAACGGTATATAATAAACGATTTGTGGGGCACGTCAATACATACTTATACGCTTCATTGTCCTATCTATTGCCTCTACATTGTAGTTACTTACAAGGCTCTTAACACAATTATTGTTTCGATTAAGATTATTGTTCCATTTACATAGTTCCATTTGCATATGAATCATGAACGATGAATTCTTTGAAATAAAAACTTGAGGACCTTAAAACTCGCATTACACGATAAATAACATAAAGCTTATCCTAATAATTTCTTGTTATATTCTGAATAACTTTGTATTTATTAAATTACCTTATTCTATTCTTAATCAAGTCATTTCCCGTGTCAATAGAGAATCATTATCAGCCAGGATCTAATGCCATATAGGTTTCATTTAAAAGTACTTGCCTTGCTTGAAGAGATGTTTCATATTTCAAACATACAGATAGAAGGTATTCGTTTACCTTCGTCGATATGAATAAAGTACTACCACAGTTCAAGCTACGCAATAATTTTCGCTCCATATACAAAGAATAATGTTTGTGCAACTAAAAAAAAAGAAGAATAAAATATGTGTCTCTGGATTTTCAGTTGATAACGTTAAATTGTTTGTATGTGTAACATACTATTCTTTTACATAATTATAATTCAATGATCAAACCATATTTCATTCTACTTATTATTATGAAGAACAATTCTTAATTACATATCATTCGTTTGAAGTTTTTCTTAGTCACATGAGAAATTCTTGATCTGTGTTTGTATATAGGTCAATCTTTTAGATATTCTAAACAATCCCAAAAATGACATTAGATTTAGTTTCATTCAAGTTTAAGTCATACAAAAGATATTATTTAGCAAATGTGGCACAATGTTCTTTATGAGACTAAACATATTACATAACACTATGTTTTATCAATTTGCCACAACTTTGAATTTTATTAAAAATTCTTAACAGATTTTGGCCATTGATTTGGAGACCTTCACAATTAACATTTACAAATTTTATTTATTTGTATCTCTCTATTGACAAATCATTGCTTGATGTGGCCAAATTTTTTAATGCTTATGATAAATATGATAGATATGATAAGTATGTTATTTGTAAAGAACATAGTCTCATAAGCATAATAACGAATATGCTGAAGCAAAATAGACTTTACATGCCAATATTTTATAGTCGTGAGTGTGACTTGAAAGTCCACATCTTTTTTATTTTTCCTTTTTACAAAAAATGACTGATACAAATGACAACTATATATAAACAACAAGATAACAGTCTTGCAGAAGCGATTTATACAATCGTGAATTTATGTTGTAATACGATCTTTTTGCATCATACAAATGCTAGAGGAAATTCAACCTCTAAAAAAAAAAAAAAAAGAAATAAGCGTAATATCCACGGCAGCACGGATTCTTAAATTATTCGTTCATGTGGTTTTTATCGCGAAACTATCCGACAGTCAAGCTGCAACAATCTAAAACATGATTAACTAAAAGCACCTCGTTTAATACCTACTTCCTAACGTGTTAAAAAATCTGTCCAAAACCTAGTCGACAATGTATTAAAAAAAAAAAAAAACAAGAAAAAAAAGCTTAATATAAAATTGTTCGACATATTTTTAGGTATTAGGCAGATTTATTTGATTATAAAAGTAAGCAAAAAAGTTGACCACTCAAGAAGATTGTCCAGCATTTCAAGCAGTCTAAAAATATCAACGTGCAAGATATGATGATCATTATCATTTTATGGTATTTTTATTATTTTTACTATTTTGCTTATGTGTCTAAGAAAAATTCAAAGAAGAATTATGCAAAGTACATAACCCGCTTTGTGTTTGCATGAACTGTGATAGCTCTTGCCATTGCACCTGGTGTTCTGTCTTCGCTACAGCCAGATTGATGAGATCCTTCTCCGCTGAAATTCAAAGATGAAGATTCATGTTGATAACGAATGGTAACACATATGTGATTAATTTATTATTTTCAAAATCTTTAACTATATACTACGTCTTAAAACAGTTGGCATGTTTAATTTTATATTATCATTTTTTAATGCAGCAAATTAATACTTTGCTTTAGCTTAAAAAGAAGATTTTATAAATATCAATATAAAATTTTATGTACCTATCATGCTCTTTTTCTACCAAATGATATCTGGCTCGGAATGCTACGAGATGAGCATAATATGCTGGTGCAGGTATACTAACAGATCTCGTACATCTGACATACGTGTGACATAATTGATACGTTAGAGACTGTAATTCGTCACTTTCAAAACGATTATCATCCCATAAAACGTGATAATGCGATGGTCGAGACGTGCCCTACAATAAATATAAATAAATGTAATATCTAGGTCAAATGAAACAAACAAAGAAACAGAATTGATCAAGAGTTTTAAAGTTTACCTGGATGCCTTGGTGACTACATAAATAGAAGTCAAATTCAGTTGGATGCGTTATACAGACATCAACTGTTGTACCGGCTGGTATATTCCCGCTTTTACCACTTTGATCTCTTTTTTCCGAACAAAATAGGCGAGTGTGATGTCTCTTCTGGACTACAACAAATGTTATTCCAGGTCTATACTCAGCTTCAAGTTTAATACAAGCTTCTCGAATGGCAGTTAACTCGTGTTGTAAAACATGAAGAAATTGACCTTCTGAGACACCATCGCGATAAAGAATTATCCTAAGTGGTTTATATCCACCAGTGCTTTTGTAGAACATAAGAAGGAGTTCCCTTAAAAAGAAATATTTCGCCGTTATTAATTAAAAATAATATATGGCAAAACGTGTTTACAGAATATGTTTTGTATTTATATGTATATGGAAAAAAGTAAAAATTCAATGTGCTCAAAATATTTGTTTACTTAATATAATATTTTTTATATGAACATTCTATAAGAGCTTGAAATGTAAATAAACTTGTATTATTTAAAAATTATAACAATTTACTTACCTCACCATTGAACTAAGTTCCTGAATAATTTCTTGTCTATGTTGTTGAACTCTAACAGTAGCTGCGTACCGAGATGGATGAGCATCCATACTAGCAACTACTGCCGCTATGCTAGGCTTTTTATTATCTCCAGCAGGAGGATGAGTCACATCAGCTCCAAAAAATATAACAGGTTCATCAAACACTTTCGGTCTGATAGTGGGTACTAGAATACTATTAATACCACCTAATTTTACATTAATTTTCAAACATAAATTCGACAACGTCTGTGGTGACGTTTTATTAACATTTTTTGCTTGTACACACTGCGTTGCCATACCCAATAATGTATCTCCTACTCTTTTGACTTCAGCTGTAAGCAGAGTAGGTAACATATGTAGACTAATATATTATCGATACTGTAGAATCTCACATAATGCAAAACATACATTTTACGTTGTAACAACCTCCAATGTTATTTATTGTACTATATACGATTAATTTACTACATTATAAAATTATATAAACTTTTCATCACATTATACTAGCTACTAACAAAATATAATATATATATATAATTACTATATATATATTAATAATAATGATAAAATTAATATATGATATATAATATAATATATATATATATATATATATATACTTACCATATACAGGTGTTTTTCCAGGTAATATAACACAAACAAGTTGTAATGATGAAAATGTCGCTTTTAGATATCTAAACATGGGCTCTACTTGATCTGGCCCAGTAGCATATTTACAAAAACATGGTTGCCCAATAATTGGCATCCCAGCATCATTGCTTATTCTTTGTAATTGTGCTATAAAATTACGTATTGAATCATCGCGTACAGTTCTTTGTGGAGCGAAACAAGCAATTGCCCAAACTCTAATTTCCACACCTGTGAAAAATTGCTTGCCTCGCATATCCCAAACACCACCATTAGGTATAGCCTGCTGCTTCGTCTTTAAACAGGAAAAAAATAAGATGAAATATATCATTAAATATTACAATGAATACTTTGAATCATAACAAATAAACAAGATGCACCAGTGTTTCTATACAATCCATGCAATCATTACTCTTCTATATTTATCTCTTCTTACCACAAAAATCATATAAACAGTAATTATAAAATAACACAAATAAAAACTTTGAAGAATTACAACAAAAAATCAAAATAAATAACAACCCACTTCATTTCACTACTGCATGGAACAAAACTGATAGCATCAGACAGTATATAGTGATAATGAACTGCAAATGTAATGCAAATTATATATAAAGGAATGAATTTTTTTCTTTGTTAGATAAAATAATATTTGAAATTATTACTGGACTATTTTTGTTGATTTTATAAAAATAATTTATTTCCATTACAGTGACAGTTCATATATCAAAATCAACCAGGTCTAGAACCGATGCATTCATTTGACAACTTTTCGTTTAATTAATTTTTCAATGTATTTGAAATAAAAAAGTTTCAGCCCAAATGTATTATTATCTTAGAAAAAATCTCATTCTATTATATAAAGTCGTATTTATTAAGATTTTTGTTTTAATAAAAAAAAATGTATAAATCTCAGAAAAAAGCTTAAGCTATTCTAAAACAAAAATTTTAAACTAAATCATGATTGCAAGAATATTATTCATGTATCTTCAAATGGGAAAAATACATTATAATTAATAACATTATAGTATACAGCACTGCAAAAAATATATTTCTACCAAAAATAATACAAGAGCCTCTGCAAATGTGTGATTTGGCTAGACCTGACTGATTGAGTTGGAAGTTTCTCACCTGTCCACTGAGGGAACTTACGCGCCCTCCATACTGTAGCTTGGGTGGAGGCAAAACACGACCCCTAACTTCCATCATATTGTTTGATATCGTCAAACCAAATTCTTGAACATATGAATCATTATTAAAATCAGCTCTTCTAACTAAGTTATTTATTTCTCGTTCACGATCTGGAGCAGACCGGGCTGTAGCTTTTATCATAGTAGAAGTCTGCATATCAGTCAATTTCTTGATACAACGTTGCCCAGCAACAATATTACAGACCTAACAATACATATAAATGATACTTCAAAATTATATTATATTACACTATATTCCTTGGAAAAAAGACATAACTTTAAGGATCAAAAAGAGATCTAAATACTAGAATCAACAAACCTCAAGTGGCAAATATGTATGTTTATGTTCTTGTCCAACTTGAAGGCATGGAAGATATGGGTGTCGCAATTTCATTTTATATTTGTCTAAGAAATATTTTGCAACCGTGCACTCGACTGTTTGTCCATTTTCTAATTGTAACGGGAATCTAAAATTTTCATAAATGTTATATGTTTTTAAAATAACATTACAAATTGCTTTTATGTATACTTACGATTGCATTTGAGCAGGTTTACGCGTAACATTACACACTCTATATTTTCGCCTCATTGTCCCACAGTGTGTGATTTCAATTTTAAGTCCTTTAATTTCTTTGGTAAATTTAACTCGCTGAGAATCTGTTAAGGGTCTCTTTTGATCACCTATGTCTCGAATGTCTAATACTTCACACATAAATTCTATAACAGGTTGTGCTTTATAAAATGCAGTTGCAGAAACTGTAAAGTAAGTAACATACACATAAGAAATGAATACAACATTTATTTTATATTTTATTATAATTTATATATTTACCATCAATGTTTAGCATCATTTTCCATTGGGATGGCCTAACAGATTGATGAAAACCAAACCAAACTTCTCTACCACCACCTAATGGATGGTAATATCCATCTGGTGTACTAAAGAATGATCTACCTACTGGAGTATATGTCATAGATGGTAAATGCCTCATTACAACATCTAAAGCAAGTATAGCGTCATATGGGATTTGTCTTGTACGCCCTTCTAAAGCTTCTTCTAAAGCAAACAGTGAAACTTGAGCCAGCCACTTTATCACCACTCTAAAAACTCTATCTTTACCTTCACCAGGCAGTGTTACCTAAAAAGTGTATGTATTATTAGAAAGTAAATCTTAAAAAAGAAGTCTGTATATATATTTTATTATGCATTGTACTTACTTCTAATTCTATTTTGTCCGTACCGATAGGCAAGGGGTCCCTTGTATATAAATTATTTCTGCCATCGAATACGGGTTTAAGAGTTCCAAATATTTTACTATATGCATGAACCATTGTTTCTATTATTTCCCTATTAACTTTACGAGGACATTTATCAGGTTGGATATTAATATCATAATGGTGCACATAACCACGTGGCATTGTTATTTGGAAGTGATTAGCTCTTAAGGTAATTTGTCTGCCTTCACGTCCTATGTTTGGTCTTCGAGGACATGAAAACACTGCAAATATATATTTTAAATTATTTACAAAACAAAATACATAACTGTTATTGACTTGTTAATCCTGTAGTATGTATAACTTAAGTATATTATTTTCATTTCCATTGAAAATATGAAAATATTTTTTATATAAAATTTGTCAGCTGAGGGATTTATTTGAATATTTTTTAGATTATTATCTGTACAGATTTTAATATACATACGTTATAAATTTTCTCACAATTATATAGCTTTTTTTTTCAAGAATTATATTGTTACCAATTTTTATATCATGCATTTAATAAAAATATTACATTTTAAAGAAATTTTACATAACAATTTAATGAATGGTTTTAATTTTATAACAAGAAGTATGGAAAATTAGTAACAGGAAACCAAATTCATATATTATTGAATAATTAAAAGCAAAATTATTATAAAATATGTATACTATCATGCCAGTGCCATATATACTTTTTTATTGTATATGAAATAGTTTTTAAAAACTTACTTGGCAGTTCAGGAGGTTGAGGAGGAGTGTGTGTTTGTTGTGTGGAAACAAGTCCTAAAGAACCTGGAGCTACAACACTACTGCCAGTTGCTCCAGATGCACCAACAGAAGAACTTGTTGTGGGTCCAGGTGGAGGAGCTGAAATAATGTAGTAAACTAATATATTTTTCATATATATCTAATGCATGTAAATGCATATATGAATAATTATTTCTATATATTTATCCTAACAGTTACAAATACATGTAACAAAATAATTGAAAAACATAAAGATACACTACATAGTTCTCAAAATGTAAAAAGTAATAGTTAAGTATAATATGATATATATATATATACTACAATAAATATTTTGCTATAGCAATATCTGTTATAACTATATTCCTGTATTATAATTAAATTATAAAAATTGATTTCACAAACAATTAATAAAACAATTAATTTGATAACACCTTCTTCAAGATCTTCCCTCAATTCTCTGTTCTAGTTATTTATTACATATATACTTATATTTTTTACATAATAATCATAAGCAAATGATAATTACAAGTGATATTTTATATAACGCATAGTCAAGTCACCATAATAATGTAATATATATAGAGACTTGTGATTGATATATTAAAGAAAAAAAGATATATATATATCAACAAAAAGTAATAATCTAAGAAAAAATTACAATGAATTTTATTTATTTTTGAATATCAGTATAGAATATTTTAGTTCAATATTATATTATTGACTTCTTTCTTGTTATACTATTTAGTTGAATAGATTAGTTGAATTAAATAAGTTATACTATAAGCTAAAAATATAATGTTAATCAAGGAGAAAATAGCATAACAGAAACTACAAATATGCACATAGAAATTATTTATGAATGTTTTATAAAATAATAAAATCGAAGATATCAATAACACAATAATAGTTAAGTTTAAAAGCGTGTCTATACCAATACAAAAAATTGGAAAGCCTTCATTTTTCATTGGGATTATTATACTTAAAATAATACATTAAAAATACTATAAATAACAAAAAACCATCAGTATTAGATGCATACACATATGCACTCATACGTTATCCGTACATTGACGGATCAGAGTGACGACACATTGTGCCTGTTGAACGAGGTTCATTCGAGGTCATATTTTAAATTTTCCTCGATTCCTTAAATTTTAACTTATCGCTACGGTGAGTTTTGTTAGCACGTGCTTGAATTAAAAGAATTCTCATCATTTTGAGGTAATCAAACAGGAACAAAGGATCAGATTTAGTCAAGTAATGAAATTCTGTTCTTGCTTAGAAATGCAGAAAAGGCTATTTTAGAATATTTTGAAATGTTATAAAAAAAAATAAACATGTTATAATACTCACGCTGCCCTACGGGATACATTTTTTATGCTGACGATGAAAAATACGAGATAACCACTAATAAATAAGTAAAAAATTCAACACAAAACCCACAGACCACACAACACACTTCTCCAAAATACACACTGCGAACAAGACTGCCTCTTGCAATGGCTGCCACCAACTTGATTCCGATTGATCTTATCTCAACCAATCAGCGCATAGATAATAAAACGATAGTTAATAGTTCTTGGCGTCATCATTCTTTTTTAAATTATTTAAATTTTTCACGTCTGAATAGAAACATGTTAACAGATATTATAAAACTATATACATATAGTATGTAAAAAATTTATGCAACATCAATAATAGATAGGATGTTAGTAACATTTCCATCAGTGTTTCGAAAATGCTAAAAAATACCTCGAACAATATAAAACAGTATAAAATTTGTTTTCTATATCTCGACTTATTTTAACATATTATTTTACTTTATAATTGTCTTATAATCTAATGATAAATAAATTTTGATTATATTGGCCGCACTGCGTTCAAAACTATTTCCCCTAGAATTGTAACTATTAGTGATAATACTACACGCGATTGCGTGCTTGATTTCCGAAATGTCGATTCCTTTCAATGGAACTCGTACCCGTTCTGCCGGAGTAATATCTGCAATTGCGAAGCACTTGAGAAATTTAACTTTAAAACCAGTTAAATCAATCGACATAAAGTTTGATCCCTTTCATGATAATGCTTTGGAGGCAAGGTTAGTTCAATAAAATTTTGTTTCTTATATATCTTTCACTGGAATTTGATCATAGTACATAGCATTCTTATCTTGAATTTACAATAAACAGTATACAATCTGTAGTTAGTTATAAATTCTTTTTATCTATAATATTTTATCTACTATACTATACTTTTTATAATATGGCTTGTTAATACATAGTACTCGATTCCCTCTTTTTATTTAAAAGATGCAGCGGAAGTTTTGAATATTATTATCATAAGAAAATATTTTTTTCGAGATTAAAAATATTGCCTCAATAACGATTATGTTTCATTTCTCTTCATAAGAGGTTTGGTTAGTTTAATGACGTCAATATCCTGCGCATGTGTAACGTGAAGTTTCTAGTAACTAGCAGACGATGTCAGTATTTTTAGAAAACGTTGATGATTAAGTTGCTACAATAATATAATAAAAGCATAATATGAAAATTAAGTAGCCTGTCAAATATTGGAATTGAATATTAACAAACGTGTGATGTAATTTCTTATTATACACATTTGAAAAGGTACAGTTGATTTTCATACGCGTTATACAGGGTGTTCCAGCTAAGATATTACGGAACTATTAAAGGTGACGATAAAACTTATTTGATTTATTATTAATTGTTATACTTTTTTATATCGTTGATAGACTATTGAATATTTGAATATTAACTATTGGAGGACAAAATTTCATTTTTTAAATAATGGAATAATATATAAATATCTATGCTTCCCCCATCTAACTCTATTATATCTACTTAAAATATTGTTCTACTTTGTGTAATTAATTTTTTGCTTTATGAGATTCTCGATAACTACAATTTTTAATAAAAATTTATTTTAATAGTCTTGTTGAAATGTAAATTTATCACAAAATATATGCTTGCTTTTATTTTAAAAAGTTTCTACTTCTATAATTAGAAAAATAAAAACTCACCACTACACTGTCCACATCCATATGCTTTACCAAGCATGGAAACAGCTGTAGTTATGCGAAGACTACTTAAATCTGGCATTTGAAGTGGTAGTTGTTGTTTCATTTGTGCCATTTTTCCTGAAAATATTATAAACAAACAAATTAAAAGATAATGCAAGAATTGTCAAAACTAAAATGATAAACGATAGAAAGAAGCTATCTTATTAAACTATTGCATGAACATAATTGTAAATATAAAAATAGACTTAAAAGAGAATATGCATTTAGTGATCTAATATTACATATTATAACAAACATATATTGTATTTGCAGAGATTTTTTATTTCAAATTACAACTCCAAAGATTATTGCAACAAATCCACGTTGTATGGTGAAACCATACGTTGTCTCTGATTTATCTGAACCCATAATTACATTCAATTTATGTGAGTATCACAATATTTTTTTACTTAAGAAAAATAAGATTAATAGTTTATATCGCTTTTGTTTTTAAAATAAAGATGTAGATTAAAAAATTTAGAAGTTTATCTAAAAGTGGAATAAATTCACCAATGTTAAATTACAGTAACTAAAATTACAATTAAATTTTATAAAATCTGTTTAAAACAAATTTGATGTTATATATAGCATCTGTATCTTTTAGTATCTGGTGATAAAATAATATGCAAAGGTAAAAACTTGACATCTTTAAATATTTTGGAACTTTACAACAAACATATCACACCTTTGGCTCCAAGTGAATCTGAAGCTGAAGTTGAGGACACACAGTTAAAAAGGAAAAAGAAGAAAGCATTTAGAATTAAGCCAGGAAGCAAACGTAGAGGACTATTCTTATAAATTAATTGGCAATTTAATTTGATTATGAGGCATTAAAGAAAAAATTGAATATAAATATAAGTATAAGTTAAAAAATAAAATCTTTAAAGAATAAATGTCAGAATCAATTTTACCATTTATTTAAAACAGTCCAGTTTTCATATTTCACTTTATTTGTGGGATAACAGTGAAAATTAAACCTACATTGTCAATTCATAAAAGTCTTAATCATAATATATTTATTAAAAATTATATTTTGATATTTTTGTTAAGCATTTAAATATAAAACAATTGTTTATATGAAAGTCTGCAAAAAAGCACATTAGGAATTCTTAACAATACAGATTAATTGCTTAATTTTCTTCCTCCTGAAAATACTTTAAGAAAGGTATCTGAATTCTACAGTTCTCGGAATTTTTGAGTTTTACACGATAATTCATTTCTAAAATGGCAAGTCATACTTCAAATAGCAAAAATTATAATATGAAACTTATTGATACCCTCTATAATCAGGTTCCAGCTTTTACAGATGTATTTGATGAAGAAACATGGTATATCTTTGTTGCCTGCTTTGTAGCAGGAACATTTTTAGTTGCATTCATTCTTTCTAGATTTATTACACTGAAACCTGTAGAATAAATTTACAGTGTTGTTTCAAATATCGTAATTTATATTCATAAAGAAGGCATCAAATACATTTTATTAACATTATATTATAATAATAAAATTTTCTATATGTCCTATATAATATGTAAATGTGAAACAATATAACATTATATTACAATAAATTAGAATATATAATGTTATATTGAAGTACCTTCAATTACTTGAAACATTTATTTAGTAGTTGCATTATTTTCTATTATAAAGCATTAATTAATTACTTTTATGTATGTAATCTTTTGTGCTTTGATCATGCAACTTATCAGATTAATGCTTATACAAAGCTTTCATAATTGTATTTTTGTAATTTTAGTGAACATTAAATAATCTGTATCTCCAATGTAATAAAATTTATCTAATATTTAATAATAAAAAAATGGACAAAATATCATTGTAATATTTAATATAAGTTACAAACAATGTCATAAATCATTATGATTTACTATGGACACACTGTATTATTGGTTTTATTTTGTAATTGCTTATAATTGATGAATTATTAAATCTGAGAATTTAATATTTTAATGATCATATAGTTTTAGTTGTAACTGGGATTATATTATAAATAAAAAGAAATTATTTTTATATTTATTGATAATTTATAATTTTAATTCACGATATTGTATTATTTTGTAATACTAAGATTGATTTTAATTCTTAAACTATTTAATATAAAACTTTACAAATTTATTTACAAATTAAAGTCTTTTTCATGAATGTTTATAGTTATAAAAACGTTACTACGTCGCACGCGTATGTTTAAATACGTATACGATTAAATGTACGTATAAGAAATTTAAAAACTCACCTGTTTTATAGAAGTAGTATTCAATTTATAATATGCGGAATAGATAAACACTGTTATCGAATTCACATAAACATTATTTTTTTATATAGAAACTTCACGGTAGTGTCTATGCACTGTGTAACAGTTTTATATATAGCACTATAAAAGACACATCTTCCGTGATGAAATATAATATAATAATAATTTATTATGCATGACAATAATTAATTATCTACGTGAAAAATACATGTTATATAAAATTAACTTTTTGTATTATTTTCGATAAATGCACATTTTCAAAACAAGAAAACATGTACATATACAGAAATTGTGCCGTAAAACTATATCGTGCTTGAAATCTACAGCAAATTTCAATAACTATGGTTTATACGCTACAATAAGTAGCTTTTAAACATTAATGTTTTGTATGCATGCAGCTATATACGAACATATTTATAAAAAAAATATACGAAGAATGTACGCATAAACTACATTTGGTATTTAATACGCAATTAAGGAATAGATAAGTAATTATTTTATAGAAATATTTTCGTACATGGAATAGTTCAAAACTTTTGTTAACATTGTTTAAGTTTTTCTATCTGAAAATTGAGGAAAAAGACTTTACCGTTGTTTTGAACAATTTCTGCGTAATTTAGCGAATCGATTACATTTTCTTTTCTTTCATAAGATTAAAATGCATTGTTTTCTTTAAGTTCACTTGAAAATAAGAATCATTCAACCTTCACATATGTTTACACGTATATACAATTCATGATCGCATATATCCAACGTGTTGATATACAGTTACATAGCATAGTTTGTTTTCATTACTGGTAGTCCAACAAAAAAATTAGGTCGTTGAACCAATCAAACAAAAATATTATAAGAAAAAATGAATAAATATAAATTTTCAAACAAATAAAATTTTCTTGAAGCATGTATTTCACTTAAATATAATATAATTTATTTAATTAGAATTTTACTGTTGTCTAACCTTAATTGTTTATTTTTCTCAATTTCCAATGTATGCATAAAATGTTTGGTGTGGTTTGTAATATGATGTATTTCTTTATAGAACAAAAGTTTACACGAGAATTATAAAGCGAACGAAATTGCAGTCACGAAAACAAACACAATAACGGAATATCGTTAATACGAAGCGCGAAATATTTTACTGATTCGATACTGCCAAACTCTGTAAGATTTTACAGAATGGCCACCGCCGCTTTCACTCACGACGCGATCCTACCAAACACGATTTCAGTAAGAACGGAACGAAGCCGCCAAAAACGATCACCAAGTGTCAAGGTTGCCATTGTACACGAACATGTCGAATATACCGATTGTGTGAGTATGTTGAATGCACTCGCATACACTCTACACTCTCTTCATTTCTGTTATGTTAGTAGAGACATAAAACAATAATATTTTATCGTAATGCTCGCACTTATTTTACAATGACACCGATACTGATGTACAGTAATCTTTGTTATAAAGTATTTCAATGCACTTTTATATTTTATGCATAACGAACGCCGTATGTTTTTCATTAATTTACCGGGAAACTTTCGGCAACATTCACCGAAACAGTAATCAACATCCGCGAGAAAGACCCCACTACTTGTTCGATTCACCAGTTATTGCGAATGCTCATGTGGTCAGGATTGTAACAAGTAAATAGAATGAGGTATCATTGTCTCATGGACTTGTTTACAAACAATGATGTACATATGATGGCATTTAAGTCTATTTACTTGTTACATATAATTAAACTGTATATAGTATTATGTTTAATAACAGTCTATGCAATAAGGATTTAATGTTAAATCCTTTTTATCTTTGGTTTAATACGTCATATTGTATAAATACAGAATTTTTTAACTATCAACTAGTTATACATTATTAAACAACATATAATCCTTTATAAGAAAAATAATAAAAAAAGACCATTAAATTTTGTATAAGTTGGATAATTAAGAGACTATCAATAAAATATTTAATTTAATTATAATATCGTTAAAATGAATTTTATTTTAACCCAACATTATTATAAAATTGTACACATTAAAAATTATATAATTACGACTTTTGTGTAATTAGAAATACTTGTACTTTACCATTTCTTAAATTACAGCTATTTTTAAATAAAATATAGAGAAGTACTTTCAAATATATGATTTCTTGTTTTGAGCCGTTCCTGGATGATGTCATAATCGACAGACCAATGAGAAATTCTGTGAATTAACTATACAACTGTCTGGCAACATAGGTTATATGCGTTCTGCCAGTGTTTATGCTATAAGAGACAAACTTGTTAATATATAATATTAATAAGAGAGAACTATATTAAATACTCGAAGAACCGAGTAGAAATACTGAATTTACATAACAATTGTTTCTTGACACAAGTTGTGCAATTTTACGCAGAACATGATAGAATGACTATGTTTAATCTTCTATATCGATTATCCGTGTTGGCCAATAACGTGTTTGTGCGTCGTAAACAATGTTCTTCTATTGGTCAATTATATTCCCGCCATTAAATATTGAAGAATATGAAATTATATACAAATATGTACATAATTTGGAAATTTTATATTTTTTACTTTTACTTTATTTTAAGATGTTCATATTTATCCATAATTCGTTCAAAAACACTTAATTGAAAAACAATATATCGTTAATTAATTGCAAATATAAAAATAGTATTTTATTATAACCAATTAAATTTGGAAAGACAAGAATTATTTGCTAAAATTTGAATCTACAGGATGATTATATAAAGTAATATTAATAGATTATATAAAATTTTTTAAAGGCTAACAATTATATACATAAAAAGTATAACTACATGTATTAGTAATATGTATCAATAATATATCATTATATTAATAATATTAACTAAATACAATATGTTACAAAATCAAAAAATTCAATTTGGAGATCATTTTTAATTTTGATTTATTCATTGATGTTTTATTATACAAATTTTATTGGATTTGAAATTTAAAAAACTTGATATATTTACAATAAGAAGGAGAGATATATGTAAATATCATTATATTATAACAAAGTATATCATTCATTAAGGAATTATTTATTACACATAAACGATTATAATGTAATACACATTGTATATCTTCTAAATGAAAATATTGTTAAATTCTATTTTTAATCTAAATCCAATCCTTCATCATCATCACCTTTCTTATCAGGATTAGATGCTGGTGGAGCTTGTTTAGTATTTTTGTCCTCCTGTCCTTGCTGCGTTTGTTCTTGGCCACTCTTAGCTTCAGACTCGAGAGCAGTGACGAATTCTTCAATGTTTCCACTGGCTGCAGCATTGACAGCATCTGGACCCAAGCCAAATTGACGGATGACAGGTCCCGCCTGGCCTGACTGCAAAGCAGACCAGAACATTGATAGCGCCTGGGAGAACTGGGGAGACACTAGCGTGGTACACAGGTGATCCCCTGGTGGTAAGTGCGGGCTCATTGCACGCTCCAAGCTTTCCGTTGCAGAAATTGCCGCAGGGATGACATTGGTCAGCTCAGTTGCTACTCCCCTCTGCCGGACAATAAGCTGTGCTGTAGGTGGCCGAAAACAACAAATAATCCCAGAGAAACTTCCCCAACTACTCAACAGAGCGAGAGTCTCCGACAGCCAGGAAAAGTTCATGTGGAAAAGAATATTAAATAACGAAACAACCATGCCTCTGCCCTTTGATTTTATAGTAATAGTTTTATTGGCTCTATACTGCGTTTCAACTATTGGTGGTACCACTGATTCTATGAAATGATAAAAATTAATATGTTACACAGTTAAAATTAAAAATTCATAATATTTAATATATATTATTCGTTTGTTTATTATATCTTCTCTTTTGCATATCTTATAATAGTATTAAGCAAATTAATGCAAAGCATACAAATAATAAAATAAAAATATTAAATAGACAAAAACTGTGTACGCAATTAGTATACCACTTTCTATCTTTTAAGATTTATAAATAATATCAATATCAATAATTTAATTAGTACACTGAAAATTTCATAGTCATAATTTATAATAACAAAAGATTTATCAATGTTGAAAAAATAAATATTGGTTTGTACAAATTAAAAATTATCATATTTGTAATTATTTGACACATGTGTTAGTTCTGATAAATAAGTGTATAAAATATCCATTAATACCTGGCTTTGAAATTTAATAATTTATACCACGAAAAAATTTATATTAAATCAACCTTGTGATATCAAAAAATGACACAACAGAATATACGAAGAAGATATTGAAGAGCTGGTTAGAAAGGAAATAATTTCAAGTCATTAAACAATGAAATATCATTTCAAGTATGTTATCAAGAATACCATTCTGTTCCTGATAATGATAACAGCTGAAAGAAAAGATATAATTAATAAAAAAAGCAGATAATATATTACAGTGAACTACTGTTTAATAATTGTTGTGACTGAACAAAATGTAATTGCACAATATTGAAATATTTAATTATACAATATAAAATGCGAAATATATGTTTGATAAGATGTGTGATATATAATATCAATGCGCACGCGCGTTTGTTTGCGTGGAAGTTATCTAATCTACATGTATAAATGTAAAATAAAATAATGACACAAAAATCAAATATAAAGTTATTATAAAACCATACTCTACATATGGGAAATTTTTGTATTAAAAAAAGGAATGAAATTTTTTATATGATTAAAATTCATTCTAGCGACATGCAAAAGAAGATGGATACAAACATAAATATATATTATTTTATTCAGCAAATATTTCTGTAGAAAAAATTTGTATAGTCATATAGCATTTAATATTTTCATATCTCCCTTTTGTTGCCCTAGTATTTTGTATCTTTATTATATCTGTTTTTCTTCTATTTTTTATAACTGTTACCAATTAGAGTATCTCAATTTTCGTTAAAACGAAGAGTATAAAAAATAATAAAGATGAAAAATTATATATTTTGAGATTACTGCAAGTCTCACAGCAATATAATATAAAATTGACTACCTTTATAAATGCACATTTATTATTTTTATTATTTTTGAAAGAATATAAAGATTCTTTCTTGTTGTTGCTTTCTGCCCTATCGTGTTCTATTTTCCAATTCTAATTTATGTGTATTTCTTATGTATAAGATTATTCTAAAGTTGTGGTTTCAATGATTGTTGTCTTTCAGTTGACTGAACAAAATGCTATAATAAATAAAAAAGATATACAAGATATTCTACATAAGATATTATTGAGTGCCAATGTATATTGTTATACATCATTTAATTTAGATTATTATTATTTCTGGGTATAAATTGTTAGCTGTTAGAACCTAAACATTAGATAGATTTATATTAATATTTTGAAAATGAGGTAGTTTTACAATAATAATATTGTTGAAAAGCTGAAAATTTAGAAAAAATATATTATATAAAGCTATATATGGAGAAAAGATATTACCTGAACAACAGATTCTGTTCCTGTAGGTGTTGGAATCTCTGATAAAAAGTTTTGTAGATCACTAAGTTGAATTTTGTTATTTGTATTTGTTGTTGTTGTTGTCGTTGTTGTTGTTGTTGAAGCAGGTGTTGATGTACCTGATGTTCGTGATGATGATTTATTATCACCTAAGCAGAGATTTACGCGAATCACTTATACAAATTATATAATAAACTATACAATAAGTACGCTTACTATTAGGTTTAGGAGGATCATTAGCAGACGATGCTGAAGATATTATTTGCGTAGCAGGTCTTACAGTACTTGTAGTAACTCGAGTCGATGCAGTTGTTGTAGATGTTCTAGTACTTTGCACACCTTGAGGTCTATTCATTGTACCCAATAAACTACCTAAACCAATTTGGCCTACACCACCAAATAATTGCATTAACTGCTGTTGTGACATATTATTTAATAAATTCTGCAGATCTCCTTCTGGATTTGTACTACCACTTCTTTGTGATCCAGGAGTTGGTGGATTGTTAAGAACTTCATTAATTTTTCTACAATATTCTTCATCTTTGTCTGTTTTAAGATCCTGTATAAAAATGAGGCATGTAGCATTAACTACTTTTAAAATATCTTATCAATTTTTGTGGAATTACTATATCTTTTCCTAGACTACACAAAGTACGTATATATATTTTATATGATATACCTATATATTTTAGTTGCTTCATAATACATTCTACAATATTTTGTATAAAAATATTATTACATTCTTATTTATATTTGAAATCTATTTCTACCTCAGGAGGTAATGAGCGAAAGTTTAAGGTAAGAATATATAATTTTTAATCTAATTAATTACCGATTTAATAATTTTGGATGAGATGATTTTACATGTGTCATGCATATATTATTGTACATAACTTATTATATGTACATAGAGTGTTTTGTTTAACTGGAAATGGTAGTATATCTCACGAGAGATTAAAATTATCAAAAAAATGTTTTAACAATGTTTGGGTTGAAAAGGGACATCATATGGTGCAAATTACTTTTTTGCGGATTGTATAGTGGAGGAGATTTTAGGTACAACATAATTTTTTTTAATGGAATCATATATTTTTTAATATTCTAATCGATCCACCTTGGTGTTCCCTATAAAAAGGTGTTATCCTATATATGTCAAAAAATTATTAGTTTAGCAGACATTTTAAATGTAATTTGTCGTATGAAAGACAAGGAAAGACGCAAAACGGTTATCTTATGTTTACATTGTAACATGTGAAAAATAAAAACAACATAAACAAGAATATTGTCTTGTGTCTCTCCTTGTCTTTCATATGACAAATTAAATTTTAAATATCTACTAAGCAAATAGTTTTTTGACATAGATAGGTTAATATCTTTTTATAGAAAATTCTACAGTGAATTGATTAGTGTACTAACACATATATGGTCTCATTTAAAAAACCACAGAACCATTCTAATACTCAACCTGCAAAAAGATAATTGGTTATGCAACTTTCATTGAAACGTTTTTTTTGATAATTTTAATTCTTTGTGAGATATTCTATCGTATCCAGTATACAAAATACCCTGTATAATATAATACATGTTTAAAATGTATAAGTGATAAGAACATATATAACAATTATAGATAGGTCTCTTTTAATTGTAAATAAATATTAAGCTTCATATATACCATTAGAAAGGTATTAATGTAAAGCAATGAACACATAAAAATATTTTATATAAAAGTTTCATATATAACATGCAAAGTTTCTTAACAAGTTCCTTATTAACTAAAGAATTACCTAACAAGTAATTTATAAACATTGAAAAAATAATCATTTTGTCTTTGTTATTTTAAAAATCTACACCTTTTTTATTCCCTTCATAAATACTAACTTTACTAACTATAATATAATTCGCACAAAATATAAACAAATGTGTGAGATTTAATATTTAACATTAAAACCCATCTTACCTGAAGCCAAACAAAGAATTTTTTGTTCGATGATTTAAATCGCAAGAGGTATACTCTTCCAGTTTTACATTGGGGAACATGTTTAAATTCACAATCATCAGGAAAAATAATCAGGTCCTATAAATAAATAAAGAATATCAATAAGATGATTATAGAGAAATCTAAACAAAGTTTGAAAGAAGTATATCAATTTTACAAATAATAAATATTTTTGAATTGTAATGAATTTTAAAGATAATAAAAAATATCTTTACATCCTCAACATATCCTGACACACGATCTTTCCAACAAAAATGCATTAATGAATCATCAGATTGATAAACGTAAAGCTGTCCTTTTCGAATATCTGGATAAACCATCTTTCCCTTCATAGTCATTTTCCCCGCTTTAAATTCCACCAAATTTTTAGGGGTTCCGCGTGAAGCATTATTTCCAAATAAGGCTCCTCCTGACATAGTTGATATTTCGAACACCTTGTTTTGATAAATATATTAAAAACTCTACACGCGGTTAATTTACTTTTAACGGCGCGCTGATGACACTGCACTTTAAAATGGCGTGTTAGATTTCCTATCTTACATAGAATTCTCAAACATATGCGCCACTAGTGGCGAACTTGATAATTGTGTTTACATTCAGATTTTATCGACAGAGCATAAACAGTCAGATTATCTATATTTTTATATCACTAACATGGTACAGGATAATGGTACAGGATCATAGGCATATAAAAATAGATTGAACAAACGATATAGGAATAGAAAGAAAACGCTGCATAAAGACCCCTTGTGTCCTTGTCTAATAACGCATGCACATTCATATAATAAATATGCAAGTGTAACAACGATTAACGAGTGGCATTAGTGTACAATACTACGTATACAATGTCAGAGAGGAAATTTTCTCTTTAACAGTATACATGATATCAGAGAGTGGTAGAGAGTTTCCTCTCTGATGATACGTATCTGAGTTATCTTCGCCCTGGTGGTAGAAATAGGAACTAAAATTTAAAATTATACCATTTCGCGCGGCGTTATGTTGAAAGAAGGAAGCAGCTTCTAAGAGTTCGTTATAAAAGTGAAAAATTTAATATACCACATCAAGTTATTGCTTCAAAATGGTGAGAATATTAATTTGGTTCAGTTTATATTTATAATCTAATAAAATTTTGGCGATTTGTTGTTTTTGGATGCGAATAGACGATTATTAGTATTCAATCAAGGTCATACCCCTACATTGAGAAAGCATCGAGAACCAATATATTATTATTACCTATCGTAATCGATTATAATATCAATTATAATAGGTAATAATACATCGTAGTACTGCCATTTCGATTTCGTTTCAATAATTTATATCATTTAGTAATATTTTGTCTTGTACTATCTTCTTACATAATTAATGCTATGTGTTTAACAACGAATTGTAATATTTCATGTTTTGTTACAGATTTCTCATAAACTGCATTTCTTCATATTTTCTAGGAAGAACTTCAAAAGTCAAGCATGTAAGTATCTTTGCAATTGTATTCTTCACAGTTTGCATTCCATGATATTTGTTGTTATCAAAATATCAACCTCTATTACATTTAACATATTAACAATTATTAATATTCAAGTCTAATAAACAACAATCTTTAATTATCTTAAACAATTTGAATAATCAACATTATGTTTTTAAAAACGAATTATAATATTCTTTATTTTATGATAGATTTTTCTCAATCTCCATTTTTACCCTTTATGCTTGATGATAAACATAAAATTATGATGAAAGATAAAAGCTTTTCATTAAGAATATAATCTTATTCGTACTTGTTACTGAACATTGTCTTAAATATGTTTTCTATTCATCAATTTCATCAATTTGACTGTTTGAATACGCTAAATTTGCGCGCGCTTGTATATACAAAAATCGAACGCTCTTATTGGTGCAATATATTGTCAAAGTCAAATCAAGCGTGCCTATTGGTGGAGAATATTCTCAAATGTAATTGACCGTTATTCCTATTGACGTAATATTTGTCACGTTAAATGGAGCTTTGCTATTGGTGCGAAATATTCGAAAGTCGTAGTTTCGCGAAGAATCGTGGTCTGTCATTGTACTCTTGAATGCCGTGGAGCGAGAATTCGTCTTGTCGAGCATTACCCTGTTGTTATTAGTACTTTCATTTCAACTTCATCAGCATTTCTACACTTCTATCTGCTTCATTTAAATAGTATGTTCGTATTTAATCATTTATTAATTATAATCTTAGTAAAATTAAGAAATTTTCTTTTATTTTCATCGTTGACTGTGTACTTAACAAGTTACAATCATCGATAGCTCATATTATCGGTTTTTGAGGTAGAATTTGGATTCTATTATTACTTTATGTCACTATAATTGGTTTCATTATTGTAAATGATTGGTTTATTATACATTCATTTTTTGCTATATTTTTGATGATTAAAGTTATTGAAAATTCACATTACTGGTCTTTAAGGCAGACTTTGGATTTTATTATTGCTTTATCTTACTATAATTTGTTCAGATATTGTAATGTTATTGTAAATTATTGATTTTTTTTGTCATACATTTATTTGAAATTGTTGGTTTTCTTTTGTACAGATTATTTGTTGGTAACGTGAGTAAAAGAAAAGGGGTTCACATCACAGACGCCACGGCGATTAATAATCGATAATTCGAACTAATACAAAATGGACGACACAGACGATTAATAATCAATTCGTTGGTTTCCCATGTAGATTTGGTAATGATTGAGTTATCATAACAAAGCAGATTCAAGAATGTAAGTATCTCTGTATATTGCATTCTAATTTATTTGATTATTAGTATTTTGGTCGAACTATTATTAATTTCCATTGACATAAAATCTATAGTTATAATATTGAAATACACAAAAAATATATTTAACGTGCTTCAAAAATGATTAGATTATCATCATAAAATTAAAAATAAAGTGGTTAAAAATTATTATTTTAGCCTTCTTATTTTTATAGTTAGATTAGATTTCACATGTTTTGTTTCAGTTTTTCATAACTTCTACCTTTCCATGCGCTTCGGGAAGGATGCAGTGATACTTCAAAACTAAACGTGTAAGAATCTTTGCATATCGTATACCAATTAATTTTATACCTTGTATTCTGTTTTAATTATTCATAATGAAAAAACAAGTCTGATTTTAAACTTTAATGTCAGAGTTTCAATTGTACAGTAATTAGAGTTTACTAGCAATTTTACTTTTTTAGTATCATTAAGGTTCAACATTTTTATAGAATTCCACATTACATTATCTCAAATTTGTTGTCGAATCATTACTTAATTTTCAAAACAAATTATTCACGCATATATTATTCATATATGTATAATAAGTCATATTTTGTTAAAGGTTTATCATTCCTTCCTCTTCCTTCTGTTTCCTGAAAAGGATCTAATCTAACTTCAAAAGCCAAGAATGTAAGTAATTTTGTAATCTGTACTTTGTTTAATTCTATTCCTCGCTACTCGTGATTTGGATATAGTTATTAAAATTTTAATAGAAATTAATAGAGGATAATAGAGATCTCCCACTACTTCAAATTTTCCAACTAATTAACGTCATATTTAAGAGCAAATTATAATATTCTATGTATCGTTATAGTTCTTTCCATGATGGGACTGCTGCATGGCTTCTCTTTGATGACGGTCTTCACAGCATCGGTAGTCACCGACTATGATCCTCCCATCTTATTGTGAGTCGCATGCATTTTTGTTCCTCTGGTCACTCAATCATGTCGTAGGATGAAAGGTCCGAATCGACACGGGTGACTGGTTGTATTACGTAGATTTCTTAACGAGCATAGTGATCGCGGGTATTTGTTATACTCGTGAGTAATAACATTTTCTTTTCTGTGTCTTATTTATTAGTTCAGAATAGGTCTTCTTGCACATCGCGTTTTTTAATATTAGTGATGATGCATTGACACAATCATTGACACAAGTGTGGTATTAATATTGATAACTAGTTTATGTATGTACGAGTGAAAATGACAATTTGTATTCATTATACATATATATTTGCTTATAAAATCAGAGTGCTTGTATTCAATACAAAGATAAAATATCCATACAAGCATACGTATGTAATGGATAAATGATGCATATTAGAGTCTTTCTTGTTTCCTTTAAAGCTTTTCTCATTGGTTAAAATTTACACACTGGTTTCATTAATTTCATAGTATTATAGTTTGTAGTAGTACGATATTTGAACTAGCTTTTCCTTCATGTATGGATATTAGTTTTATTTTTGTTTTAAGAATTAGTGTTTCGGCCTACCATCGCGATTGTTTTAATTAGTTTTCTAGTTAGAGTTGCGTTGATGAATGATCGCGTTTTTTAAAGTAGCGTTGCGTTTATATTCAATGCCCAATATTCTTCCACTGGATCGTGGAAGCACGTTCCTGCTCCTCGACCATCAAATGCAGTTTCACCAGTAGCCTGTTACATAATGGCTACACTGGACCGTTATTAGTGTTGCGAACATATAAATCTGAGTGCATAGAGTAATAATTATTAGTGTTGCGTAAATAATTCACACGGAAATTTTCTGTTTTTTTTCTTTTCTTTCTTGTCAATAGCAAATTAATTAACATTGCAAAAGTAATAAAGCACTCGTCGCGATTTGTTTTGAGAAATTTCTGTTTCATAGCTATGTATAGTAAATTAGAGTTGCGAAACGAAATGGACATTCCATTCACGGTTGTTCGGTTACATGGAGTGGATACTTTGATGGCTCTTCTGGTTTGTAGCGCTAAGTCATATTATTTGTTAATAGCGAATATTATTTATTCACATTATATCATTTATTTATATAATCGCTGTTCTATAATAGACAGACAGAAGCATGTATGTATATATGTACTTAGCTGGTATTTACTGTCATTAGTTTAAAAAAATGAGATTATCCAACAGTTGGACACGAAGGGACAAAGGAAGGAAAGTGTGCGATGGCACACCACCGAGGCATCCATCACAATTTTCGGCGGAACATGGAGAAGTTATAAATCCTCTTCATCCGTGATGCGTGAGCTTCGAGTATGCAAAAGTTGACTTCATCGCCCATGTCGCTCAAGTTGATGCACTCTGGATATGATAAAGCTGACTCCTAATTCAGCCGGTAGGTAGCAAGGTAGAGATCGACAGCGGGGAAGGGTTGCAAAGAGAGAGGGGGAATGGAGAGAGAGAGAGAGAGAGAGGAGTAAATGGTCAGAACGGGGAGAGAGGGAAATAAGCCCCGTTAAGCCTATGAATGCTCGTCGAGCGCCGATAACAGAATTACTGCTGAGGGCTGTTTACACCGGGGCTAGTGCAGCCGCGTCGAGCGCAGCTAATTGTTTTAACCGCCCGTACTTAACTATGCGGCTCAATAAGTCCCGGATTTATGTAGCCACCTACGAGGGCCATGGTACAATGACTGTTTTAACGAAGAGACCAACGATAATACTCGACAATCACGCGAATAAAGATTACAAAATGTCCCAGATGTCCGAAGGTACGATAAATGAACATAGCGTGTGACAAATAATTCGACGATTCTTCGATTTAACGATTCGACGACTCGACGATTTAATAACTTGCAATTCCGAAGCGAGTGTCACTGAATCTTCGCGTTTCGAAGTCTGAATAGGTGAATTCGTGACGTTGATGAATATAACAGATGGAAGGAACGTTTACTAGGCGAGGAATAAATTTACAAAGGTAGTTGGTAACTTGAAATATCAAAATATCTTTTAAGTTGTCCAGGAAGCGGAAGTCTTACCAGCATTTAGCGTTCATTAGAGGGGCTTTAAAAGTAAAGATACCTTGAAGAGTAGAGCAAAGAGGCATCGATCTCACGGTTTTCTCAAAGCGGTGCTACGTCTGTAAGGGGATCGGGTAATTGAATAAGCGCGAACCAACCATAGAAACGTCTTCCTTTTTCAGGGTGGAAAGTGCGAGGGTAATAAGGTCAAAAGTGATTTACCTTGGTAATTCGTGCCGGTAAGACCTGTACAGACGTTTTAATCACGCGCCCGTAAACTCCGACTGGTTCCTTTCGTTGTGTAACGTTTTCATGCGTCTTTAGAGAATTATGCGCAAAAAGACGCTTTCAGGGGGCAAGGGAAGGATGGACAGGATTTAAATTCGCCGCTGAACAGACGGTTTTCCCGGGGGTAAATGAGAACGTGGGTCGCGGTACTTGGTCTTCGCGGAAACGTTTGTGATTCTCTGAGGGTCGACCATTGAAATTCAAAGGAAACCCATTCGGTGAGGGTGTACAAGTTTTCGCATCGCTCTTGGCTAGTATCACACGGCGAACCATCTTTCTTCTTATCTTTTTCCGGTCTTTCGACTTTCAACTCTAACCGTATCCAAGCCATATAATCGGAAAACTCTAGCGATCGTGAATTAATTCTAGTTAATACTGGATATCTCCGGATCGTAGGTAAACACAGCAGTTGCGTTGGATTTAAGTCGGGCGATGGTGATAAATAAATTCCATTGATGTTGCTTATCACGTAAAATACAGAATATTATAAGTTAAAGCGGCACAGTTTAAAATTAAGTAACTTGACTTAAACTGTTGCGGATAAACTAAGTACCATAGGTACTGTTGGAGAATTTGTTCGTTCGAGAATGTTTATTCAGTTGATAGTTTATTGGGAAATTATGCAGTAAGTTTAGTCAGGTGTAGGATCGATTGCAGACACTTGATAGGCTTATGACGTTCGATTGCTGGAATCTTTGAAGGAATTAGGACATGTTTGTCGTTGAATATAAGCGTGCAAAGTCATTAATTGTTGCTACAAGAACTTTATCAGTTTCATTCGTAAAGGTGGATACAGTAGAATCTCGATTAGCCGAGTTGAACCGTATCGGGACTTTTTCGGATAATCGAAAACCCTGATAATATGGAAATCGCATAATCGTATAATAAAATCATAGAGAACATTTTGATAATGTAACGTTGTACACGTATTTAGGTTTAATTAATTATTTAACCTGATGAAAGTTTGATTAAATGCTTTCACAGCATCTGACCATCCACACTTTGCTCTTCGCGTTAAAATGTCATAAAATAAACATGTAGAGAAATGAATGCGAAATAGTAATGTGAAATTCGACGTGGGATAGATCGTCGTCACGGTTATCCACGTGCAGTTTATTATAAGTTAACTAATGAAACGAAGGAAAAGTGAAGCATCGATTCGCTAGTGTGATGTATAGTATAGCTGCATCAAGGAGAATGTCATCGTCGTGAGTGTTTTCATTGGTAACTATCCGCCGTGTGTGTATACGTAACAAACTCTGATTGGAGCAAATCCACGTAAACTCGTCTCCTGCCAGGGGCGCTGCGGGAAATTCAGAGGAAACTTTATCGTTCGGTTGGCAAGTGCCAACATTGCACGCTACCTTGAAAGCCTTCATTGTATTGCAAACCCGATTTTCAGAGTCTACAGGCTCGAAGAAAAAAGTAAGCAGCCGGGTAGTGAGTGCATTGCCTGCTTACCTCATGAAGGATTACCCTTCAATTTTTCCAAAGAGCACAACCCTCGCGTTTTCGGTTCAATCGCCTCGTTACCTTTTGAAGGTTACTCGTACATTATTTTATTCTCATTGTAAATCTTCCATAAAATGGAAACCGAAACTTTTCAATAATTCTTCTATATTTTCGCATGGAAATTGAATTACTGTTCTATACATTTATAGCGTTTTACGAGAATTTCGTGCGAACAAAATTGGAAGCTTCGCTATATATTCGATGAATAAACCTTTGATCGACGAAGAATTACTAGACCTGGCAATGCTTTTATCTTTCATTTAGCTCTCGTTGTATTTTTTCGTCGATTTTCAGCAAACGCGGAACTACAGAGTCTGGTCTATCTATAATTTGGTTTCAGCGGTGAGACAAAGTCGAATTTTCTGAAAGAATTTTTCTAGTTAGACACGAGAAATTTCAAATGCTAGGCGAGCGGTAGCCCTTTGCGGAAGCTCGTTCTTGCGACAGCCGATGGTTGTAACACCGGGTTCTACAAAAGTAGTACGAACTTTTAATTAGGTGCACACTCTGACGCTGTGACTTGAACATAAGGGTACATCGAGGCGACCTGACCTCGCTAAAGATCGATTAGCCGCCGTACGACGAGCTTTCGTTTCTTCGTTTGCCTGAATAGGGCTGGAAGTGTAATGGCTGATTAGAAATTAATTTTCCAGACCGCCTTGCAATACTCCTTCTGATCGCAAAATTAATTATAACCAACGGACGTGAAATATAATAACTCCATCTTAATACGAGCTTCACGTATATTAATTATTTAATAATCGTTCGGAAATTACGATGAACAATTTCCTGAGGATATCTATAGATAGAGAAAACTAATTATCGTAAAATACACATATTATTACGATTTTTAAGCTGAAACATGCGGTTTCGTGAATTATTTCACGAGGACAGGTAACGGTAACGTGATTGCGAGTTAACCTCGGAAAAATTAAAAGGAAAGACCGAGCTGGTTTACAAGGAACTTCAATTTTCGTGAATTTCACGTCGCTTGGTCGATGTTACAAGCCAGGAACGTTTAATCACTACGAAATTAGGATAACCTCGTGCTGCAGTGTCGTGATTAAGCCGAACCTCCAGACTTGGCCACCTATGATGTGGTCTTTCAAAGTAGATATACACACCGTGGTGAAGGAAGATGCAACACAAACGAAGGAGAACAGAGAAAGACGAGGAGCATTTGCTAGACAGCGCGTCCGTAATCAAAGACCCACCATTGCCATATCGAAAGCTCACAAAGTTGGAGCTTCCCTGCCAATTTCGTCATCATCTGTTGCCAACCGCAAAATCAAGAAGCTGATAGGGTTATACACCCTGTCGAATCCGGCCTAGAGTACAGCAATTTCACGATATCCAGTTGCATGTAATGTATCTTGATAATATATGCAGTTCAACGTAGTTTGATGCAATTAGTGACAGATTTCTTTAGAAACTGTTTTCCACGGAACGACCCTTTTCAATTTTATATTAATAGTCAACCGTTGCTTAAAACGAACGTTTCTTGCCATCTTGAAACCATCTTGATCTCGAATCGTTTGAAATCTTGAAATGTTTTCCATTTTTAGAAAGAACAAACGTTTTCACGCGAGTGAAATATTTGGTTATGTCCGACACAATTTCACGCGTCTCTCTTGTTGATTTTTTCACAAATCTCTCCAGTGGAGTAAAAATTGTCACTATTTTTTAATAACAATGTAAATTCTAAAACGTCACTTTTAAATTGTTAATCTCTTTGCGATCATCGCCTTGTCTCCCATAGTATCTTCTCGTCCAAATATTTTCTATTCTGTCGCGTAAACGACAAAGTATCGATTAAATTACAAACTAACAAATTTTTCGCGATTTCGCGAAAGAAGGAAGCTCGAATAGAGAATATAGAGCAAAGAGAGGCGTAACAAAGAGTATTCGTAACCTTCGGTATTTGTCAAATTCGGTGGCAAGTTATAGTCGCAGCATCGAACGCGGCATTTTTATTTATTCCGTTGAATACGAGCTACGATCAGAGTAAATCCCACGGCACAACGAATAGATACGATTTTTCATTTGCGTTTTTTTTTTTCTCTACTCGTCGGGTCTTGTACACCGTTTATTCGCCACCTGTACCAACCGCCACTCTCTGTAATTGCATTTCCACGACGATCGATGCACGTTATTGTTGAATCACGCATTAACAACGTCATTAATTCAAGCGTGCGACGTGAACGAGACCGTTCGCCCGTACATACGTTGAGAAGATTACGAAACGGTAAGCTGGTACCGTTTAATGATTCGTATGAATGCCGCGCGATGCGTCAAATACATTTTTCGATTTTCAGCAATTTCTCACGCATTCGTCTCGGTTTATTTAAAGCACACGTATATTATTTTAATGAAAGGAAAAAGTATACAGGCGTGTATTTATTTGACGAGAGAAAAGAGCGAGAAAACTCGCAGCTTTTTCAATCGTATTAAAGCTGATAGAAGTTTTTAATGATGATTTTCAACGTATATAAGAATATCAGTAAATTTGCGTTTTATTATCTGTCGTTAGTCTTTCCGCATTTGCTAATATTGAAATTGATTCCACCGAGTATTTCGTTATTATGAATATTCATATTACCATTTATGGTTGATTTATATTTAAAGTACTCGATTAAATTTTCACTATTTAAAATACGCTTATTAATATCGTTGCACAATTAATGCGTAATTATCATTTCATATGTAGGATTCTTTTCGCTTATGCCACTCTTCGGAAACGCCACCTCCTCAACGCTTCTATCAACCCATTTAATTTAGAACGTTCGTGGAACAAACATGAGACAATTTTGAATGATCAAAAAATACATTATATGAAATTAATTCGTATTAATGCACTTGATGTTTTTCCATCGGGTGAGGGAAAGAACACGGGACGGGGAATTAATTTTTCAACGAAACTCATCGAGAACGTTTTCATTGAACATTAAAGCAATACGTGTTTAGTTGTTTCGCAAACTTCGTTTCGACGATATCCGATGTTGCACGGTCTGACAATTATTATACAATTACTTTGCTCGCAAGTTATCTCGCATGATTAAAGAATTTAATTAGCTGCACAGGTTGGTCCCAACGGATTTTCATATCTCACTCGATGTTTCTAATGATGCTTTTTTTTTTTACTATTTTTCCCTTCTTTTCTTTCGTATATAGGAAATAAAAAGTCAAAGGCAAGAATCGAAGGCAATCGGTCGATCGATAAAGCGCGAAATTGGACGTAAAATTCACGCGTACACTTTCGTACACGCCTCGGTTAAAATGTATACAATTTCTGGAAAGAACAATTATTTTTTACTTTCAACGATGCATCACAATTTTCTTCTTCTTCTTCAGCGATCCGTTGCGGACACCGCTAACAAACGACGAATCCTTGAACGAATAATTAAGCAAGCTTCTCCCTCTTCCTCTCTTTTTCTAGTTACGAAGTCAAGCACTTATCTAACGGTCCTTCTTCTGCGATGATTCGAACGTGTACACGCGATACATAGGCGAGTATGGCTTGACCTCTCCGTCGCTGTCACCATCGTCTCCCGTGGGATCGTCCCTGTCCGGTTTCGAGGATCGATATATTTGACTTTTCTCGTACAGCGGCACTGTTGGAAGAAACATACAGTTTAGTTTTGCTAGTCCCGCTAGAACTACTTGGTAAATAAATGGATAGAGAAACTTGGCAATGAGTTGGTTTCAGTGGATAATGGATGAGGTTGCGATGCAACTAAGTGTTTGTCGAATAGAATTTTCTATTGTAATTCTCGATTGCAAATATTCTCTTTAGATCGTAACGAAGATAGAAGAGATTTCTTCTCGGTTCGTTCTATTCTTTCCGAATTCTACTTTTACGGAATTATCGAGAATTCTTTCTTCAAAAATTGACGACATGGTGATTAGGACTGTTCGTTCATTTTTATCACGATCGAGATTTCAAAATGTCACCGATTATTTAAAATACAAGAATCAGTGGCTCGACGTGCGACAACAGGTTTGGCCGGAATTTCAGTGAAACTTTTAATTGCGAAAGACAAGGTGGCTACCGTGGTTTCCAACTGACCAGAGATATTTACACTCTTGAGCAGGAGAATAATGTAAACCAACTGGTAGTTTCCACAAATACCGGTAATTAACATGTAGCAGCCGTATATTGTGTAACGGGGCAGTACGTACAAGACAAACTTGGTTTCGCAGTTTCCTCTCTCTCGATGTTTTTCAACGACGGCGTGTCGTTGGCGTATTCTTCCGTAGCCATGGCGCACGGGGGATGAAATGAAAAAGCTTCCGTCACGTCGGCTGTTTTTTGTGGGATTTCGTAATTTTGAAGTGGCACAGTGCCGACTACTATATTTGTTCGCAGTTTCAAGTTCTTCTGAAACATTCTGTAGTACCACTCGCTCACGTCTACGCAGGCCTCGACCTTTCGGATAAAGAGCGTAAAGAAAAAGTAGTATGTACTTGGTTTGCACGTACCATTGGCAAACACGTATCGAAGCTACGTTTTTAACGATCTGATTAATTTTAATGAGAATTCTTTTATCGTGTCCAGTGACCGAAGAGAATCTTGTATTTGTGAAAGTTAACGACGAATTGAAAACCTTGCTGCGTCGAATTTTTATATTTTAAGAGAAACTTTGGTAAAAAATTGAAAAGAGAAATAAACCGCGTTATGAGAACGATTCTATTATACTTTCCTCGTACTCGAACAACTTTTTCACGATAAAAAAATTTGAACAACTTGAAAGAAGAATAGCAGGATTAACAATGAAACATAGAAGATAGTAAAATGTAGGCTATTATAAGACTTTTACTATTATCGAATTAAATCATGATCGACTATTTATTTGGTTTCTAGAAACAACGATTACCTAATGACACGACGAATTGGTTTACGAATTGTAGGAATGAACACTACGTATAGTTTCTCTGATGATACAAAATACCAAGATAAATTTGTATGGAAATTAGGTTCTTTCAGTAGTTGTAATCTTAGCTCATTTTGATTTTACGGTCGAATGCAGACAGTACTAAATTTAAGACAGTCTCACTTTAAGCGTGTATAGAACGTCGATGATGTTGCAGTGGATCATCCCGGTGGGTGGTACTGCAGGAACGTCAAACGTGACATCGTACGTATCGGAGTCTTTATTAACGGGCTGTTCTACTTCTACTACGATTTCTTTGTGCTTACGCGACTTTTCCGTCGAACGATAAGACACCACCTAAGAAAATATGTATCATTTAAAACAACTGATGGGAGAATAAAAATGTAATAAAAGAAACACATCTCGAGCATGACCCACATACTTTTACCGCGATACGCTGCGTGAAAAGGTGCTGCTTTCAAATAAAATTCGACGAAAAAACTTTTTCACAGTGCAATTGGTATTAGTCTAAAATAAAGCTATTAACTACGATATTTACTACAAAAATAAGGAAATAACTTGCAGCATGCCATAAAAAGAGGAGATGCATTTAAGAGGATATTCTACTGTTCTTGTAACACGTACTCTTATACGGTTTCTTTGGCATTTTTCTCCTCTGGCAGTTTCTCCTTATAAAAAACTCATAGCATCTCATCTTTATTCATGTCTTGGTAACATTTACAAATTTGTTTAGAGGAAAAGAGAAAATTGAAATTGATGTTGGTAATTTTGAAGACAGTGCTTTGCATACATACTTTTAAAGCTGTATTCTTCGAAGGAATATAAAGAGATGTTAAAGAACTACGGTAGAATATCCCCCAACTACGTTACAGTTATACAGAAAGAATATACTTTTTTAAAAACGACTCTGATTTTCGTAACGACGACGGTAGTGGGATTCGTCACGACGATCTCAATCGGTATAGTCTGGCCAGGCACGTAACCACGAACTGGAACAGTCATGGACATGCTGATCGGTTCCGTTTGGCCAATATACATCTTGGATTGTTTGATACTTATTGGCAACTGAAACGATCGTTCGTATCGTTGAAACTTTTAAACGGCGTCGGTCTTAGGCTGAACGTTCTCTGGCATTAACGAAGCGCAAGAGCGAATCGTTAATTCGAAAACGCACTGTCTGGTTGCGCCTGAGAAACGAAATCACATCGCAAAAGCAATATCGTTGGCTGTTAGATTTCTACTCACGGGAGCGAGAGGATCGCGATTAAGGTCAAGAATGGGTGCCACCGTGAATGGAATAATATTGGTGGAAAACCGATAAATGGTCGTTACGTCCAACAATGCCCTAATCGAGTACCGTACTCGTCCGTATCGGCCCTCGAAGCTGCACGGCAAGTTCTCTGGCAGCGTTAGGCTGAACGGGTAGACGCCTCCAGTTATCATAGTCTTTTCTTTGCCATCTACTCGTGACGAGAATCTGTTAATCCAACATCCTGGTACTCGTGTTCCAATCACTACCATCTCGTGTACTTACCGCCAGCGAGATACGTCTCCACGTGAAGATAATTCTCGAACGCCGAGAACTTACGTCGAATTCCAGCCGATCGATCGGTAAAATACACCTGAGCTTCTCCCTTGCATTTAAGTCTAATTCCTGTGTGCGGGAAGGATCAACTTACAACGATACTATGGCAAGAAGTTCATCGTTAAATGTACTGTGCTATTTTGGTTGGCGCATATGAAACGTTGTCTCTTTAATCCTCTAAATATTGCAATCGATAAGAAACGAAATGAAAATTTTCTGAAGCGCTTAACGTTTAATATACGTGTCTTGTAATAAATTTCTTCTCCTTTCTCTACTTCTTCTTCTTCTTCATTATGGAGTAATTAACGACAGGACAAAATGGATTAAATTCAAATTTCGGAGAAACGATATTTCATATGCAAATTAACTAAAATCCTTGTTGAAAGATAATAATGGAAGCTACTAATTATAATACATGTATTTTAATATAACGAGAAGGCAAATACTTTCCAATACAAATTCTATGGTTACCAGATACGTTTCTCTATTTGCTACGTATTCCTAGATTCGAGTAAGAAGTTATTTAAATACTCGTTAAACGTAATGAAGCAACAGCTAGAATTAGCAAAAATTGAAAAGGCAGAGAACGTGCAAGAAATATGTTCGTATTTTACTAGGAACAGTGTATTAGACATGGCTTAACGATCTCTTCAGTACAAGAAAAGTCAGTCGTGAACGTACGAGAGATTCTTCCTGCGTTCTATCTATCCACTCTACGAGCGTTCCTGCAATACCAGAATCACGTGGTAACATCGTCTTGGTGACGTATACAGAGCGGTAGTAAAGTCTTTTAGGTCACCCGTTATGCAACACGATCGATGACACATTTGGCACACGTTCGACTCGAACAGAGAAGAAATTTTTGTGATTGCGAAGCGACAACAAAGGTAAATATCGCGAAAATAAATACGAAGTTAGTCGTGGCTCGTTACAACGAG